ATTCATTGGCCCTATCAATATGATTTCTTTTCAGCAGATATTTTTTAGATTACTCATATTTGTCCTATAGATCTATATAGTTTTTTTTTTCTTCAAGAGAGTATCAATTCATAAGTCAAGAAAGAGACTAAGATCAGTAGTCCAAAAAAAATAAAGAATAAAGAATAAAAATAAGTAAATAAAACAAAATCCTCAAAAGAACCTTCTACTTTGATATTATGAAAGAAAAACAAATAATATGGAATAACATATTTTCAGCTCTCAATTATACTCTAAAATTTAAATTTTTGTTATTTTCCTATTTTACGATAATTAAACATGTTACATTAGGATTTATATAAGTAGAATTTAGTTTTATAGAATTTTTAGGATTACAACCCTTCATGGTATAAATCATAGCCTAATTCCTTGAATTAGATTAATTAGAACTAAAGTGACAAAAGTTAGAAAATTAGAATAGTAACTTAATTAGTTTAATAATTTAGAGGTTGTTAGTCATTACTATAAGGGTTGAATAAAAGCCAATGAGTATGTCTATAATCATTCACATGATTTAGGGGTTGGAATTATAATTCTCTAAAAGATTTAGGGAAGTTAGCAATGGTAATTTTGGATTTTTTCTCCAAATTCGGCAAATTTAAGCGGCATGGTGGTTCTTCTACTTAATGGGAGTCTCTTCAATGCAATGGTGGCACCGGATTTACCTCGTGGAGTGAAGAAAACAAGATCAGCAACCTCTCCTTCAAAATACAAGAGAAGCAATGAAATTCTCATTTTGAAGAATTTTACAAAAAAAATTGCCAAGATCCTTGTAAGTAAAAACTTCCATGAAAATTATAATTGAGCATGGATTGAGGCATGTGAGTAGTCGATCTTAGCTTAAAAAGGTATTTTGAACACAATAGTGAAGTTAGATTTATAAAAAAATGCCTTCTTGACCACTTACAAGGGCCATCAGCCTTGATAACGAGATTGGCTCTTGGATGAATGAAGGCCGTAGATTTAGATTAGGGATCTGAAAAATCAAGGGTGGAGATGTAGTCACCCTTCTACGAGCCTCCAGGCAATTGTTTAAGAAAGGCCTGGTTTTCCAAGCCCTCTCTCTCTCCTCTTTTGGTGAAGGGCAAAGCCATGCTAAAATTTGGCCAAAAACCCTAATTTTAATTTTATTTAGATTTTAAATCTCATTGTGAATTTTGTGGGTGGGTGTGCATGGATTTCAAGTTGTGAATGATAGTCATTGGGTCTTAAAACACGTTTCATTGTGGTGAATAGCTCCCTTGGCCTCCCAATTACTCTAAGGGTTTCAAGAGCCTCAGATTTCCCTCCATCAGTCATTCAATTGTTTTAGTTCCAATGTGATTTTTTTTGTGGTTGTAGCTTTTGTTGTTAGCTTTCCAAAAAGGTAAGGCTCGCTCCATTTGGAGTTGAACTGAATTTTTGGTGAAATTTTGAGTGTGAAGAGGTCGACTGCCTTTGCAGTTTGGATTAATCGAGTTTGGGAAGGCATTTCTCAGTGCCTGATAACTGGATTCGTTTGAAATTTTGGGAGCATCAAGATTTATAAGCTAAGCTTTGAAGGGCACAAGCTTCGCTGGATTTGAAGACAATTTGAATTTTTAGCGAATTTCCAAGTGAAGGGGGTTGGTCGCCGCAGCAGTTTGGATCACTCAACTTCAAAGGAGCAATTCTCACGACTGGATCACTAGATTGCAATGAGATTTGTTGGAGCAGGAGCGCCTATAAGTTAACTTTGCAAAAACTTGCGAATCATTCAATTTGGAGCTAATTAAAATTTTTGGCGAATTTTGGAGTAGAAGGGGGTTGCTGCCTTCAATCCTTGGCGTTGTCAAGGTACCTTCGCTTTTACCCCTCTTATTTTATTTTTACTTTTATCTTCACAGTAACTCGTAACCTCCACATTTCAACTTTTGACTAATAAATTTTAACTCTTAACTTTTAACCTATAATATTCTCACTTAAATTTTTAAACTTTGAACTTTAACTTTTGAATTTAATATTTAAGTTTAACTTTAACTTTTAACTTTAACTTTTAACTTTAACTTTTAACATTAACTTTTAACTTTTAATTTAAACTTAAGTTTTTATTCTTATTGTGAATTAATAAGAAAATTTTAATTACTTACTTTTATCATTTTTTTATGTGGTGGATTTCATCTGATATTTTAATTTAAATATGGCGTTAATTTTAATTGAATTACAAACACCCACATTTTAATTAATCTAACAATTTCACAATTGGGAGTTCTTCCATTCTACCTCTTGAGCTCATTGTGTAGTACTAAATCCATAAAGTGGTGGATTTTAGGCTCACACATATCTAATTTTTACCTATGACTATTAATTTCTAAAAACAAATATAATTAATTTCATATTAGAAGTTGGATGTCCGGCTATTATTTCTAGATCTTAATTCTACTTCTATAATAATTGTATATGTAGATGATGAATAGGGATGAATGTCCAAAAGCTATATTTAAAGACATAATTGTTGTTTATTTACATTTATATAAAAAAGATACATCTCAAGGTTTTTGCAGAATGGAATTTGTAGTAGAATAGTAAAGGTAGTATTCTTGCTTCTGTCAAGAAGAGTGTGGATAATTTATGATGATTGATGTATCTTATGACCTACTTCGAATATTTAAGAATAATCTAATAGGGACAAAAGAAAGTTGTTGATATACCAACCTATTTGAGATTTCTAAAACTAATATAAGATATTCATTGGAATCATTGAAGTTACCAAGTTTGTTGTAATTCTTGTACATTTGGAAGCTCAAGGAATAGAATTTATATTTAATGGATTCTAATTTTGTTTAGTAGTTTGATAATCTATCAATCATTAAAGAAGTTTAATATGAAAATAATTTAAGATGCCATTTGTTCTCCTTTGCTTGAATATCAATTTTAAAAATGACCAAACAATTTTCAATCATAAGTACTTGTAAATATTATCACTTTGATTGTAGAAACAAACTTTTACCAATTTACTAGAATTATGTACTTAGTCCTTTGTAAACATATATAGTTTTTCTAATTAAAATCTTAATATGTTAGATATACCTATGTCAACTTATATTGGCATTTTAGTTCATTAAACATTGTTAGTTCTTCTTTTATAACAAAAAATTGAAGAAATTGTTGATACCTCTCTCTAGCAAATTTTTAAAGTACATTCTTAAGGTTGTCAAGACCTTAGTTGCAATGCCCTTGCTTTGAATCCTTTCTTGTAAAAACCTCAATCTTTGTAAAGGTATAAATTCAATCTATTAAAAAATAATATTTTTTCATTTATGTTCCAAATCTTTTGTTGTGGGATTATCAACTTTTGAAAAGTCAAAATTATCAAGTTATAGATGATAACCATAATTGCTAAATTTTAAAATCTAATTAATAATATTTTAAAAGATGGAAATGTAAAAAATAATAGCAATAAAAACTAATATAGATATTTATAATAAAGCTTTTATTTTGATTATGAATGAATACAAATAATTTTTTGGATTCAAGACTTACAATTGTATAGATATTTTTATAGAAAAAATGACATTAATATTTTACAATTCCATGTTTATAAAATAAATAGGATTGCGTTGACTTAAGAAACTACTAATGATGTAAATAAGTTATTGAATTCTCTAGAGATTTGCATGCACTTTACTCAACATTTGTATAAAAAATTTACAATAGAAAAAATGCTTTTACATAAAGCAAAAAGAAAAAAACAAACAAAAAAATAATCAATCAATCAATAAAATTTATAAGTAGTAAAAAAATATTCTTTTTTAAAACAAATCTAGAAATATCTTCAAAAATAAGAATGAAGTATAAATGTTGACAAAGAATAAATTTATTGTCATTTCTTAAAATTTTATAAATATTGATTATTTTTTATTTTGATTAATTAACTTCAACTAACTTCTTTTTTTCTACTTATTTTATTATTATTATTATTATTATTATATAGTATGTTCAAGAATTGGAGACTCATTTAGTTTATTCATTTTTTCTAAGAATCAATTGTGTTATTTGTAGTGTGATTTGAACACCTTATTATTTACATATTTCATATATGATGTGTTTCTATATGTTATTTTTGATATGTAACACTTTTTTAATATTTTAAAGAAATAATATCTCACATACAACAAAAAAGATTTATATATATATATATATATATATAACCTACTAAAAATAAATCTAATTGCTTTTTACCACTTTAAAATTTGTACTCTAATAATTTGATTGTTTTTTGTACCAATTTTGATAATCATTTGTTGTGAGATTTATGCACAATGTTTGCTAGATTTAAACCATGTTAGATAATACTTATTGGATAGATGCAAATAAAAGAAATTACCTTATTAATTAATATTTTGGTGCATCTTTTAAATTCCAACCTCAAATAAATAAGAACATTGGAATTTGAGGTGGATAAGAGCATATCTTATTATGTCATTTTTTCAATTGTAAATAATAAAAATGATAATATATTTTTAAAAATAAATCATTTTTTTTATAACATATGTAATTTGTTTCTAAATCTCTATTTTTATGTTCATAAAACTTCTTTAAAGTCATATTTTGTGAAATTCAAGTTTCACTCATTCAACAAAATGGAGCTCATATATGCATGATATACAAAACCATGTGTATGAATATACATGATTTTTAGGTTGAAAACACTTAACTTGGATATATGTATTTTAACTTCAGACTCTTTATGTTTACAATTATGTTTACAATTATATTTACGTCCAGGACTGTATCCTCCTGTCCATTCTCAAAGTTTGTCACTCAAAAACGTATTAAATATTGATACACCTAAGTTTACAACATTTGTACAATAGTGATATACAAATAATTGTTGTAAATGTTGATTGTGGGATTCCAACGTAATTGAATTGACACGTACCTTCAAAGTTCCAAGTGTGAATTAGAAAACATTCAAGCTACTAATCTGATGAGTCGCAAAGTTAAATTCAAGCACAATATTTGGGGTTGAATTGTGGAAGCAATATTCGGTCAAAACAGAAAAGTGATCTCTGACACTATTCTATGCTTCAGCAATCTCTTACATCCAGGTAACATAATCAAAGGACTTGATTAACATAGCAATAGCAAGAAAAAGAGAACTGCACTGTTTTGATTGATATCGAGACAGAATACAATCGAACAATCATGTATTTTCCTTCTCAACAGGAACCTGAAGCTGTGGTGGTGCAGGGGCCATAATAGTTATCTCCTGCACGGCATACCAAACTGTAATGTCAATCAGTTGATATTCTGAAGACTTCCTCAGGTATTACAGAAATACGTAAAAAAGGCCAACCGGTACTAGAATTTTCAGACATACTGGAACCAATTAGAACAAAAACACCGAACATAAAAAAAGACCACGTGATTTCGACTACCTTCAAGGACAGGGAAAAAGAGGAATATTATTCTACCTGGCTGGTAACTGGGTGAAAGAAAGAAAGACGCCAAGCATGTAACAGATAACCACAGTCACCTGGCAACACAGATTTCGGTCTTTGGTACCCACTGCAGACACCAGATCTACATTCAATGAGAACTCTTAAATTTCTTCAGCCTCATTTCAACAACTTTTCGAAGTTTATAGAAATAGAGTCAGCAGTTCAACTTTATCCAAAATGAAGGAAAATCAGGATCACCATACCCCCAAAATATTTTAAACATCTCACGGATTTGGACATAATCTGCAAGTGCATTTCAACTAAATGATACAGCAGTAAAGATCTGGCCCAACATAACGAAGTTCTCACGAGCTTCTCAGTAAATGAAAATCCCTTTTACTCATTCTACTAAGTACGTACGTACAAGCTGGATACAGCAAATAGACTTACCCATCATCAGCAGGATCCATAGATTTGTCCTCACAATTTTCCGCATTGACAGTGTTCAAATCTTCACGTGGTCTTCCCCCAGCGACGTAAAGTGGGTCTCCTTTTTGGTCGACCGAAACCAGCGAAGTTAGCATTCACAGTAAGCACTTGAGTAAGGTCCGATGCTTCTAGTCTAAATTAAGCAGGTGGAAATGGTTGAACAAGAACGAGAGAATACAAAGGCCGTTTCTTGATTAGTAAATGGAAATATAATTCCAACTTCAGCAGCTAGTTACCTACTAAGGGGTGACCCAAAGCAGCTAGGTGAATGCGTATTTGATGGGGCCTCCCCGTGTAAATTTGTACCTGCAGCACATGCACGTAAATTTAGTTGCTCTGTGAGAAAAGGTTACTGTGACTAGGCTAGGCAGAGTGGATGTGGCTTGCATTCAGATGTCCTGCACAAGATTACCTCAACTAGTGTTTGATTTTCTACAATATCTCGCCACAGTACGGTGACTTTGCTTTGAGATGGCTTCCCTCCTGCAACCACATGCATGGATGCGCTGAGAAACAGGTGATAACGAAGACAATCTTAGATGTGTCTAAAATCGAAGATTTTGGCAGCTTCCAATCATCAAGCAGGTGAAATTCGATCCAGGATCTGCAGAACTGCACCTATCTCTGTTGCCATGTTGAGTCCACCTGCAACACCTGAATATTTCACTTTTCCAATTGGTATATCTGCAAAAACCTGTTAATGTATCAAGAAGCTAGCGCAATTGACTAGAGTCTACTGAAGGTAAAAGGATCAGATACGGTATGCTCCCTCCCGAAGCGAAGATTAGAACTATGGTATTCATAAAAGTAACAAAACAATTGTTGGTGGAAATTAAACAGGAATGTAATTCAAAGCAGCAAGCAAAAAAGTCAATGAACGCTTCGTACAGCTACCAACTTACCATCACAGTTACTTTCTGGTGAGTTGGTTCCTCTGGTAAATCTAGAATGCATGTGATTGTAAAGCTAGTTATAAGAAGAGAAAACAGAAGAAGCTACCTCGTCTTCCATAATGATGCCACTTGCTAGAGCACGATAAGTTTTGGTAATTTTTCGATCAATCTCTCCATCCCCTTTCTTCATCCTGTATCAAATCCAAACAGCGTTGGCCAGGATTCAATTATGTGATACATGTGATTACGTAATTCGCAGAAAACTAAGCCAACTAGAACCAAAGCTGACCTGTCAATGCTTACAGAAGTGCCTGCCGCCAAATCAGCAGCAAGCTTCGACTTAGCGGCTGGAGACTTTGCACAAAGCAGAATTCCTGCAAGATGACATCGTGGAAAAATATCTCACCCAAGAAATTCAACTCTAATGTACTTATCACTTCATTTGTGTTCAAATAAGATGAAAAATACCAGTATACTGATGATTTCTGTAAAATTTGTAGCTCCTGCAATCATTGGAATATTTACAAATGGGCATCTTACATGCGGTAATTGGTGTCGAAAACCTTAATCTTCAAACAGTAGCATTGATCATCACTAGTATTAATCAAGAATTAATTATGCGCTAACCGTAATGCAGGCCATCAAAATATTACAATAATAGTTTTCTCGTGTTGGATTGAATCCATAGGAAATGAAGAAACCTGAAGTTCCTCGACCAAGTCGGTGAACTGGAGCTGGTTTCCAGAGCCTTGTCTCATCTGAAGATGACACCGACGCTAAGCAGGCTTGCAGATGTTTCTCTTTCTCTTCATTATCCCATTCCAGCTGCTTCAATACTGTTCTTTGCTGAAAAAGTCCCCCTGGTAGAACTTGCAAGCCTGAAGGTTTGTTTATCGCTACCTGCGGAACAATAGCACAGACCATCACAGCCTATGAAACAAGGGCAAATCAAATGCCCTCTGATGCAGCAAGTATTGTGGATACGAACTCTCTAGGTGGTGTTTGACTAATACAAGACCGAAGTTTCCTTTAAAAGACCATCGTCATAAGAAATTGCATTAACTCCAATGATATCGGATTATAACTCTCCTCATGATAGAAAAGCATAAAAAAAAGATTCAAAATATACAGGAATCTACCAGATGATCATCTTCATAGAGGACACCAAGACGGTAGGGCACTTCAGGCTCCCGCCACGGAAGCCTTTGGTATACTAAAGTAACTCCATCCCTGACATAATCAGAGAAAACATCCAGCAGCAATCTCGGACATGAGTAATCGCATCAAACATCTAATGCTAACATGGTTTCAAGTGTATGTTACAAATACCGAGCTAATAATTTGCAACCTCAAGAATATTAGTATGGCACTGAACTTTTGGGCTATTTGCAAAAATTACCTTCGCTGCAAGATAACAATACTGGATCATAGGAAAAGAGAGATCACCATCAAAATTTCATGACTAAAACTCAAGTCTACAGCGCCTGGAAGTACCACGCCTGACATTCACTACCAAGAAATGCCTTGTAAATAGAACTTGTGATTCGCAAAGTACTTACAAAGTATACAATTAGCCAATAACGCCGTCATTCAATTATGAGGTTTAGAAATACGATAATATCAAGTAAAGGGTCTTAGGAATATATTGAGAAACCTGAGTAAGAAGCCAGGATCTGTAATCACGTTTCCATCAACACGAATCTGCTTGTACAATTACGAAAAAAGATCTCATGATAAGTCCGTTAGAGCCAGAAAGTCAGGTCAAGCAGAACGTGTAAGTAAGCAGTCGTGAGTACAACCTGACCATTCTGAATGCGCTGCAACCATCTGCGAAATGAACAAAATAAATAAATAAATAAGTAAAAACCCGTCCAATACAAGATATAAAAGACTACTTGCAAAACACAAGACAGAACGCACCAGTACACATACATAATCTTGTATTCTTAAAGAAAATAAAGGGTAAAAAAAAGTGGATGCAGTAATGCCCCAGAAATGAGCGAAAACTTAAGTGAGAGAGCAGCACCCTTTTTCAGATGCCGATTCCTTGTACTTTGCGGAATAATAATCTAACAGGCTTGGAACTGCAACATGAAAATGAAACAATCAGAGCTGAATGTATGCAGTGCCAGTAGTGTTAACGATCATGAGCTACACTATACGTGGATAAAATGTCAGGTGGATTAAGTCATGGCCACAAAAGCACTGATGGCAAATCAACATCCAACTCGATCAGCTGTAGTGGCATATGCGGGATTAACGCACTTGTAAATATCACAACACAAAGAAAACGAGAATTTCAGAACCTGCGGAGGAAGGAGAGCACTCGAAAGCATTGATGTACTGAATTCCTTCATTAAATTCTGGCCATGGCTTCCCTATCCACCCTATGTGATCCATGTCCTCACAGCAATAGAGGAGGTTTGCGTTTTCTCATCCACCTGAACATTTCCCAAAAGACCATAAAATCAATACAATTCATCGCCCTATGTGCGAACAACACATCCACTTCACTACTAACCTGAACCAACGGAAGCAAAAATCCAGAAATAAATCCACACGCCGTGAGGAAAAATCCCTCTACAAACCTATAATTTAGGCACTCATAAACACTAGCTCAACAATGCTCTCACCCAGTCGCCATGAAATTTCATGAAAATAAAAGAAAACTCGAGAAACTCTCTAAATGACTGATTAAATATTTCAGCTAAAGACAGCTTCGCAATACCTGACCTAAAATATTATCGAAAATAAGATTCAAGTGACGATAATGTTGATAAATCCACGCATGAATTAAATACCAGGAAAGCACCCGCGGACAAGAACAACCGCTATCAGACTCGAAATTAACTCCAAGAACAGATCTTCGGTTAGGGCAAGTAATGGTTCATCCTGAGGGCTTCAAGCCAGTAATTGTGCAAGCATCGCACTCACATGCAAATATGTCTAGGCAATCGAAACTTGAAATCCAACAATGTGCGAGCAACTGTGAACCTAACCAGCAAAGCAGGCTTTCTGGTGGAACAAATAGAGAATTCGCGATCTCGAAGTGATTTATCAGGTTATCAATCTTCGATGCCCTATTGATACCCGTTCTTCCGTTCGATGAGGAAAATGACGATACTGGTCCGGATATCGAATGTCCGGGTATGACAGAATGTGAGGTGTTTTATAATTCAGCTGGGAGAGACTCAAGAAGTACCTAACTTAGACCAAAAAGAATAGTTACTTAAAATGTATTCTTGCTGTTCATATTTCGATATTTCCAAACTCAATGACAAAAGTTGATATTAGTGTGAAGCAAGTCCTACAACAATTTCTTCTTTTCATTTGTTTGTTTGTTTGTTTGTAATTATTATTATTGTTATTTTTTCTACAAGAAAAACACAAAAGAGAAAGTATTCTGAATATTTTGAGAATATAACTACCATTTTTTTTAAATCATATACTAATTCATTATCTTAAAATGAGTTTGTAATAAATCAATACAAGTTTTTGGATGAAAAAAATCTCTTGTTTTTCTAATTTAATATTTTATAAAGTAATTTTTAAAAAATCAAAACTAACTAGTATTTTATGGAGTGATAATTTTTTAAAATTATAAACAATCACTTTAAAAAAATGAATATTTATAATTTCCATCAAAAAATTAAAAAATTAAACATTTCAATTCATATATCAATTAAGTCATAATACTTGAAAAAAGAAAAATCTTATAACTTAATACACATATATACATATATTAAATATTAAATTTATAAAAAAATTATAAATATATATTAATTTATAAGTTTATTATGTATATATTTATAAAAAAATTATAAATTAATTCATTAGTCATTTTAAAAAAATATATAATATCAAATGTCTTATTTAAAAGAAAAAATAATAAAAATTTATAGCTTGTACAATAAGGTAAAAAAAAAATTAAAAATTAAAAATTTATTTGATAAGAAGCTATAATTATATACATATATATATACATATAATCTCAATGTAAATAAAACATTGGATTAAAGAATTTTTAAGAATAGTAATGTTTATAAGATCAATGGTCACATTACTCTTTTCTTTGTATATACTAGTTAATGGAAGAATTATTTATAAATTTCTAATTGACTATAAGACTTGCAAGATAAGTATTTAAGTTGTGGTATTCTTTTGTGCTATCTTTTTAAGAACGTAAATATTTCTATGAGAAGATGTCACAAACATACATACTTACTCTAATATTTACTTATATGATTAAGTAGAAGTAAATAAAAGTAGATTTATTTCATAATATTTTCTAGAAAAGCTTCCTAGAAGCTTCATAAACATTGCTTTGACTTTACAGGTGTTTGTAATTGATTGGTAGGTTAGAAACTTGGTCAACAAGTTAACCACATATTAGTAGTTTGTGGAACAAGATAACTATGTAGTGCACAAATAGAAAACTTGCCTTGTAAGTTAAGATAAAAACCTTGCAAAGTCAACATGTTTTGGAGGTCCTATAGGACATAACCACGTAGCTCCTAGTTAAGAGTATATAAGGAGGCAAGAATGAAGCCTTCTTCACTCTTGTCAATGGCTTTCTAATCCTTAGTCTTGTTTTCAAGACTTTCTAGTATTCTTGTCTTTTGCAATAGCCATTCTAGTTTAATATTATATCATCTTTGAGTGATTATCTAATTTTTTCAAGTGACACAAGAGTGTCTTGATCTTTTAGTTCTATAAGATTCAAGTCTTTGACAAAAAGATTCTATAGTTGCTTGACATATCTAAGGATATTTAAAAATTCAATTTGCATCTAAAATTTTTTTATGATGCTTCCTAAAAAAGATTTAATGTATCTAATTTGTTTCTACTTATTTATGTTTACTTCTATTTTATTTTAGCTTATTTTCATTTACTTAGGTAATATAAATGTCTTTAATATAAATTTTTGATATAGAGGTTTATAAGTCTATTTAACATGTGATTAAAGCAATAGTAAAAATTAATACAAAGTTGGATTCATTTTTTAAATTTTTATTGACTTATATTTAGAAATAATTATTTATTTTAATTATAATAAATATTTTCTTGTATATCAAATACACTATTACATCAGTGTTACCATAATATATATATATATATATATATATATATATAATATAAATGAGACTAAAGTCTTTACATTAAATTATTGATTGTATGTATAAAAATGAAATAAACTTAAATAAATATCTCCACTATAAACTATCAATTAAGATCTTTTTATGACAAAGTATTAAAAAACAATACTACAACACTTTATTACGTAATAACTACTATGTAGGGATTTAATTTATTATATGTTATTGTTTTTGTCAATCTTATCTCATACCATAGAATATTTAATTTATTATTAGTATTGAGTATATAAAAGTAGTATCAATCATTGTATTTATGATAAAAGCAAAAACAAAACATAAACAAACAAATAAAATAAATAAATAAATAAAATCACAAGCACTCACACACCTTTACACAAACATTAAATTAATTTAATGATTTTTGTAGTTCTTTAAAACATATGAAACTTAGTAAAAAAATAAAAATAAAATGTAATGTATAAACTAGTAATGCACAAGATACATATTTTTTATTTGTTAGTATCTATAGTATAATGAATTCATGTACCAAAAATATACATTGTATAAATTTAGAATGAATGTTGAACGTCAATGATAATAAATTATTCAAAACTTAATGGGTTAATGAAGAAGAGTAGATTCTCTAGGGACCTTTGGAAATTTTTTAGCACATCCTGATGAGCTACTCCTTGTCATTGAGGAATTAGGTCATTCTCGTACTCCACCATTTAGGAAGCAAACCCATGTGCCGAGCCTGTGAGTTCTTCAAGAGATTAATCCTACTTCCATTTATGAATGGTTAGTGTGGTCTGAGCAGACATTAGTTTTATAACACAGTATTCCGACACTACCATGAATGCAGCCCTTGGAGGAATGAGAACATGAGTTTTCAGGGGTGTAGGTTGCTAGTTCTCGTCTACATCAATCTCTCTTACGCAACAATTTCAACCAGGAACCTAAAGACAAGAGGTAGAGCACCGCAAAGGAGGATGAAGCGATTAAATATTCGGTTGGTGTAATCGGCAAGCCGTTCTGGTAAACATAATTTTAGCTAAGCTACAGTTGCAGTAGTTTTAAATGGAGTTGAAAAGTGTGGCATGAGGTCACTTTCCTGTGCAATTTGGAACGTCCTACAGACAGTATACAACATCCTTCTCACTCGTTTTTCTTCTTCCCAATAGTAAGGGAGTTACAACGGAACTTGGAAACTATTCCTTCTACATTCAACATTGGACTTCCTCTATTTTCGTGGGTTTCCTAATCTTTCTTTTAGGAGAATGAACATCGTTTGTTGTCGGGTCTGAGCTTCCAGCCACCTAAACTATTGCACGCGCATTCGCCGTCCTCTAAGCGCGTGTCACATGTTGCATTCCCAAGCGGAGGGGGGTTTAATGGGTATTGTTGACGCATCTCTGGCTCAGCAATTTGCCCGCCCCCGAACTCTTCTGCAGCATCGTCGCCACCACCTGGCACCCAAAGCGAGTCCTCTTGGATCTCCTGTTCGCGATCAAGAACCGAGTGTCAAAGTAAAACTCCACAACGATTTTTCCGGCGTTGCTCCGTAGCTCTGCCTCAGGACCGGCCCTATCTGTTGCCGCAGCGAGGCTTGCTCCCCCTTAACCACCATCGAAAATACCTTTTTCTCCCTCGGCTTCAAGGAGAATCTCACTGTTACTTCTTGTGTCAGAATGAGATCGCCCCTGTACATGACGGCCACAATCATTTCGCGAAACGTGGTGAAGCATTTCGGCACCGTGTTCGGACTTCGTGTCGAGAGCGTCAGGTTGAAGTCGCTGCTCAGCAGCCACTCGGAGTTGGTGGTGTTCTGGTTGACGGCCATGTTGCGAATACTCATTGTCTGTAATGAAATGCCTGGCGTTTAGTGGCAGCTACCTGTGATAATTGGTACCCATCACGGCCAGCCGACTAAATATGAAATGAAGAATAATAGGGTGAAAAGTAGAACACTACACCATGGACAACTTTTAACATTTTTAACGCGTCGTATGTAGAGTGGCGCCTGGAAATGGACTTTAACGATGTGAGCATGGCTTACTACACAAGTCTGTGTTGTTGCAACTATCCCCGGAGATTGCATTGTGCAAAGAACGATCAGAACTCTGGAAAGTATGTGCAAAAACTAATTGTAAAATCATCGTAACATAGGCCTGCAACTGATAGCCAGTCCGTAAAGAAAGCAATTTATAGACAGAGTATCCTTCAATTTGTGCTCGAATTTCAATCATGTACGTGAAACCGGGAATAGGCGAGCTTCTCAGTCGGCTGGTGGGACATAGTCGGTACCGAATGTTGTTTACAAATGTCAGGGAGACGCATCACGGCAGACAACTGGAACCTAAGAAGCTTCTGTGCAAGTTCCTTGTATCCAGAATGAAGGAGTGAAATGTGCTTGCCTTAGTCAGGATTGTTTGACTTTTTCTGTCGAATGATTCTTTCCAGGCTGCATGAAAGTAGTGTCGGAAATCCACAAATGGTTTTGCAGTAACCGAATTCTAAGGCAGAATCTTGCAGCAATCCGTCCAGTGTCCGTCAATACGAAACCACTCCCAATCACTTGACTTCGACCTCGGAGGACTCATGCGTATGTGAAGATTTTATGAGGGCACCTTATCCATCTGGCGTCCTGCTTGCAAATTCTCGGAGAATACTATGAGATGTTGTTTCAAGTCTGGTATTTCTCACGTATAATTCTTGCTGAGCTCGGAGGATAGAAGCACTGCAGCCGAGGCCATGGTGGCCCATTTTGTCTCCAGTCGCTTACTTCGTCATTCTGCTTTAATGCTATGTTTCTGCTGTTTCAGAGGCGAGTGGTAGTGCCAGCTGTGCGGCCCTGTAACTGGATCGTTCAAGCGGAGGGCGGCTTCATACTTGCTTACCAGTAGGTGTATGAAGGCTATTGAGAAGATGGAAAAAAATTTAAAGTATCACAAGAAACGTAAAATTTCAGATGGAATTCGATGTCGTTAGCTGTGATCTGTTTCCAGAGAAAGAGACTAGTCGACGGCAGTTTTCGCAGAAATTTAGCGTTATCTAATTGAAAGATAGACACAATTTAGTGGGTATGTAAGACGCATCCTTTCTTCGACTGACAGTGGTTCAAGGGGCATTACGTGGTAGCGAACTCCTTCGGGTCATCTTCATTGATCTCACTGTTCAGTGTTCGAGTTTATGTAATGAGCGGTGAATTTGCTTCGATATGCGTGATCTTTCCTCTTTGAAAGTTCTATACTATGGGTCCTCTAGGGTTGCTTGACAAATTCGGTCGGTTCAAAACACATGAAGAATATAATTCGTGCCTGTCATTGATAGAGAAGTTGAGGTTGCCTATACACCAAAGAAACACACCATCAATTTTTCAACATACGTCTCAACTTTGGACCATCCTTGGGGTTGTCGAAGTCGATGTCTTTCAGCATGAACATGACATTTGTTCTTGTTAGGTCCAAGTATAAAGGAGCTCTTAGTTATCCCGTGTTGAGTGAGTGCAGAGTTGTTCATGACTGACTCTTTTACGGAGACTTCGTCATTTTCCTTTTCATTGTGTATGGTGCTGCCACTACTTCTGCATCTGTCATGGCCATGGGGCATGATCCATCAATCTAATTTATTGCTCAGGTCTGTTTCAGCTTGATCAGCGGAAATACCTGCAGGCGCTTCTCGCGAAGACTACTCATCTATGTACATATGTCATAACAAAGGGACGGTTTATTTTTTCTCGTTAAAATGCAAGATGATCACAAGGACGTGGAAAGCAATGAGACGTAGTGGACGCGACTGACAGACGAATTGGCGGCCTGTCAACCAGAGTCGCTATGCACATTCGCGGAAAAAGTGTGCCAGGCTTCACTCCTTACCTGTCTGCTGCTGACCGTCATCCTGCATCATTCGCATCAAGCTTTACTTTCTGCATTATTTCTTTATGCCGTTTCCAACATAAGGGGGAGATGTTTTGAAGCGTGAACGTCACTATTGTACATACTTGTAGCCAGAGTTACCAGGTAGATCCACGTAGAGAAGGTTGTGATGATGGGAGAGAGAAGATGATCTGCTTTTATCTCAGTAATCTCTCTGGCAGGCCTGGACGACTGTAAGGATATTTGCAGAGGTTTTCAAATCACAGTGAGCAAGGGCTAGTTCCTAGAACTGCGTGCGATATTTCCACAACTACAATTGCAACTAGTGTCAAATGTACTTTTCTTGTTCACACACCTATTGTCAGTTCATTAGTTCCAACAAAAAAGTGCAAAACAGAGGTCTGTTCGAAGTGTTCACGAGAACTAGTTTTCGGCTGGACAAATAGGTACTAACATTCGAGTTAAAAATAAGACATCAAAAAAGACCTATGATCGACCTCGGGTGCGGACAAGGGTGAATCAACAGTCACTGGGGTCAACAAGACACAACTCAAACTCAGCTTCTGTGAAATGTTGGATGAAGTATCCATTAAATGGCCACAGCACAAAGTGATACACGCATTTGTTAACATCGTACGTTATGCTAGTAGACAGGCTTCCTTCACTCTGGAAGGCCTGACGTCTTCGGACTAGGAGAACCTCATCTGACTAGAGTATACGTGCGCCAGGCCCAACAACCTCAGATCTATTGCCGTGGCATGTCCACATATCAAAACTGACACTACCTGTCCATAATAAAACTCACTCATCTTGGCACTCGGCGCTGAATCGCTTACTATGCTGCTTTATACTAACTACCCACATGTTCCGAAACCCAGAGAATAGGATCCCAGGTCGTCGAGATCGCGAACAGAGGTTAGGATGTAATCTGCCCGGTGCACAATCGGTCGGGGATAAAGAATCGACCAGGTGGTAAATGAATAAGTCAATAATGCGTTACAATTCTAAATTTAGATAGACACCTGGAGATCCTTAACCCATGGGTCGAGAGGCTTGCCGATGGAGTAAACAACAAAGCCAATCTTGCGCATCTCCTCTACGTTAAGGACATTGCGCCCGTCGAACAGGAAGGCAGGCTTCTGCATGTTGTCATAAATCTTTTGGTAATCGAGTTTCTTGAACTCGTCCCACTCAGTGATAATGCAGATACCATGTGCGTCCTTGCATGCTTCATAAGCATCCCACACCACAGAGACTTGCTTGAATGCGGTAGGGCTCTGTGGCTGCAGGTGCTGGGGATGATCCCAGTCAAATTTGTTCATCGCCAGATCGCGCTTCATCTGATCCTCAGTGACTTGAGGATCGTAGATGCTGATCTGAGCCTTGTCGCCGAGGAGGCCATGGCAGACATCAATGGCAGGGGTCTCCCTGGTGTCACCAGTGTCCTTCTTGAATGCAAATCCAAGCACGGCAATCTTCTTGCCAGACACGGTGTTGAACATGGAAGACACGACGCGCTTCACAAACCTCGTCTTCTGGTAGTCATTAATAGAGACAACCTGCTTCCAGTAATGAGCGACTTCGGGAAGTCCATTGCACTCGCAGATGTAGACCAAGTTAAGGATATCCTTCTGGAAACAAGAACCACCGAACCCAACACTGGCGTTCAAGAACTTGGGGCCGATACGACTGTCCTTTCCGACAGCATAAGCAACCTCGGACACATCAGCGCCAGTAGACTCACAAAGGGCAGACATGGCGTTGATAGATGAAATCCTCTGTGCCAAGAAGGCATTCGCGGCGAGCTTGGAGAGCTCAGCAGACCACAAGTTGGTAGTAATAATGCGGTCCTCTGGCACCCAGTGTGCGTACACAGCCTTCAAAGCAGCCACAGCTTTCTGTCCCTCCGGAGTCATGCGTCCACCGATCAGCACACGATCGGGCTTGTCCAAGTCTTCAATGGCGGTACCCTCGGCCAAAAACTCCGGGTTCGACAAGATCTGAAAGTTAATCCCCTTGTTGTTATGCGTCAGGATCTTCTCGATCGCCTCTGCGGTTTTCACCGGCACGGTAGACTTCTCAACCACGATCTTATCGCTCTTCGACACATCAGCAATCATACGCGCAGCACTTTCCCAATAAGTCAGATCTGCAGCCTTACCAGCTCCCAAACCCCGGGTCTTGGTTGGAGTGTTCACAGACACGAACACAATGTCCGCCTCAGCGACGTGCTTCTCAACCTCCGTCGAGAAGAACAAGTTCTTACCCCTGCACGACTTCACAACATCGTCCAAACCCGGCTCATAAATCGGCAACTCATCACTGTTCCAGGCCGCAATCCTGGGCTTGCTAATGTCTACCACAACAACCTCAATGTCGGGGCACTTCAGGGCAATCATGGCCATGGTTGGGCCACCGACGTAACCAGCACCAATGCAGCAAATCTTCACCATCTTGCCCGAGATCTAGACAACACCCTTGAAGCAAAAAAAACACAAACTCACAACCAAACCTCGCTAAAACTCCAGATGCAGAACTCAAAAAGGGAAATGCACAGAAACCCAAGTGAGCAAAAGGGGCTATATAAACCCCGGAGGTGAGGCAGAGGCAAGGAATTAAGCGAGGCAGGCGTGCAAAGGCGCGTTTCCTCGCGATGAGGGGCGAGACCAGTGGTGGCTATGGGCTGTCCCTCGTGAGGCAAACGAGCGAACAAACCATCGAACGACGGGGCTCTTGTAAAGGACGCGTGCCTTTAAAGGCGATCTAACCTTTAAAGGCGATCCAGATCGGGGCTGATGATTGATTGTGATTATGGGACTTGAGCCTCGGGAGCTAATCTGAGCCTTTTAGGGTTTGGCCCTTTTTTGCATGACGCGGTGAGTTGTGGTTGTGGTCTTGGGCCTTCCTTCTTCTGGGATCATGAAGCTTCCCTCTGCCACCAGATTCCCCCCTTTACGGCGCTCTTAGACTCTCCCCCCCCATATGCGTGGATCACGGCTATAGGGTTCCTTTTGACACCTGTGGGGTATTTTTTTTTGTTTTATTTCACGTCTTTCTTTTTTCTTTTTTCTTTTTTTGAATATTGTGTAATTTTGGTTTGTTTTTCTACCGTTCCGCATTCATGTATTTCTGAAGGTTTAGAGGAAAATTATGTTAACTTGGTGATTCAATGTATGTATGCACTAACGTGTGTATAAATTGTGAAACTCCATATCTTCTGGTGTGCATGTGATAATAATGACTTTGTAGGGTTGTTGACGTCAACCCTGTGAATTGAAACTTTGTGAAATTGCGAATAATTTTTACTTGGTGAGGCATAAATTTAATAACATTATGCAGAAGGGAGGTATCTGACTGGATATTTTGAACATTGTATGTACATTGTAGACTTACTTAAAATTTAACAACAACAATAATAATAATAATAATAATAACTTATTAATAACTTGATTGTGCCACTTCAAAAAAATTACCAACATGTCTTCTTTGTTTATGTTAGCATATTTTACTTGTTATTATTTTATTCTTACAGAAGAAGATAAGAATGACTTCACCTAGATTTAATCAATGTATGTTATAAAGGCTTTGTGCTACAAAAACATGGAAATCTTAGAAGAAATGTTTTAGTAAAGAAATGCATAAATATAAATCAATGGAAAAACATTGAATTGTAAAATTTGTACATCATGATGTAAATTTTGCACCTTGTGGAACAGCTTTTGCATCATTGGTTTTGATGTTTTTCTATTCTCAAAATAGTATTTAAATACATACCCTAAGCATTTTATCATTTTTCTTCTGGTTGTACATCGATTATACATTGTTAAAAATGAAGTTTCCATGACTGCGTATATGTCATGTATTTGTCCTGCTATCACCTTCCTCTTGGCCACGCTTGAGCAATTGGACAGGAGATGGTGCTAACACAGAAACGGGGGGCATCCTACCAGTTTCTGCTGTATAAAATTTCTATGCACATTGTGTGGGTTGAACAACTGCAACACCAGAAGAGAACTTGGTCATTAAATCGAATGACTCGAGTGAAGACATACTGCATTGTGACATGCTCTGGTGAGACAAAAACTTTCTCACTTAAAATTCAGCCTCAATTTGGTTTGATTTTGTGCTCCATCCAGCAACTTCATAACCAGTATCATTGAGTTGAGATAATACCTGTGCACACTCGAAAAACCGCAAACAATGATCTTTTCAACGGAGCACATGATCACACCGTGCCAGCAATAACCTTCACATGTTCTGATAATTTTATCCGCTTGGCATACTTCGATGGCTTCCACACAAAATCTTAGCAATGAAGAGGTCGAATGTAGGTGAACAAATGGTGCGAAAAGGACGCTGTTGTCAGATCAGACGATGTAAACGTTACTCCACTGGGCTGGGAACGAGGCTGAACCAGCCAGTGACTGGGTCTGTTTTGAGACCTGCCATGGGTATGAATGGAAGGAGATCTTGAGCTCGTTGATCAGCCCCGCTATCTGCAAATTGCAACGAGCCTTCACTTGCAGAACGAACCATGCCTTTACCGACTTTACTTGACTCCTGGTCAGTCGGAGCTTCGTGAGCTTCAGTCACGTCGCATTCATGCTGGTTGCAAGTGCATTCTGGTACACCTGATTGCAACAGAGTCTCAGACACCAAGCTAATCCTTGATACATTATGCGGGAGACTTGAGGAATGTGATTCCAGAGCCGAACATCCTGAGCAACTCTTGATTCCAATCATGGATGCTGCAGCCATAGCTGCAGCGGTGGCTGTGGACTTCCATTCAATGCTATTTTCCCTGCTCCTTTCGTTTCCACTTTTCTTCTGCCATTTAAAGAAAGCGGGTGTCAAAGGGTACCCATCCATCTTGTATCCTGAGCCTGAACGAAGCAACAGGAGGGCAAACTCACTTCGTAATGTTTCTGCACTCTCAGAGATCCATCCTCGCAAGCTTTCCCGAGAATGGTGAAGTTCCCAAGCGCGACAACTGCCTGCGGCTGCTGCCATTGCGGCTGCTATGGATTCTCTCCATTGGAGTTCACATTCTTGTTTACGTTGTTCTTCCCTTCGTAGCATTTGCAGCTTGAGCTCAGCTACTTCCGTCTGTGTTCAGATGAAGGGAACATTTATGATACTCTGCCAACAAGGCACTTGAATGGTTCTAATGAAATTGCAATGGATGTATCCAGGTGAAAAGCGAATGATGATCTAAACCATTCATTAATAGATTGCGAGAGGTGCATAGCACCGCATACCTGCACACTTTCGAGGGCCTTTCGTTGGGATGAAACAACTGCTTCCAAATCACGAATGCGCAACTCCGTGTCCATATTTGCGTTCTCAGCTTGCACACGCGCTCTGATTTGGATTTCTAATGAACGCGTCAAATCCAATACTTGCACGGAGTTGGTCTCCGATGTGCCAAGTTGGGGTGCAGACAACAATCTTTCAAGTTCTTTCACCTTCAACGACAGATTCCACCTTCAGGTCTAATTACCACTTTTCAGATGAACTCCAGAAAATGCAACAATGCCAAATCAAGCCTATAAGCAAACTGGAAAAGTTTCAAAAGAGACCCATTATACAATGAAGTAGCTGCTCCTGATCAGATGCGTAGCAATACCAACCTTTTGCATATCAGCACGAATACCTTGTCTTGCCTGCTCCAACTCAAGCTCAATACGCTGCACGCGATTAGACAATACTTCTTCTGTACCGCTTTGATTTTCACCTGCAATCTCCCACATATTGTCCTCTGCCTTGCGTTCCAAGAGAGAATCAGATCTCGAGGAAGCATCAAGACAAGGTCTTGCACTTCGATCTTCAATGGAGTGCGTTCTTCTTGAAAGAGCCTGTACCCAGGGCAAAGACTCAGCATTCCTACAATCATTCTCTTTCAAAATTTTCGATGCTCCTTGAATATACTTTTTGGATTGACCGCCAGATATCTTTCTTTCGGTCAAAAGATGATCAGCAGGTCCCATTAACGATACTGTACTTGTAACGCCTCGAGTTTCGGACTGAGATACATTGGTCTTAGGAGGAGACCCAACAGCTGCTGTCCGCTTTCCGTCGACCTTTATCCACTCGTCCCGATTCTCAAAGACATTCTCAGCCGCTGAGAAAGGTGTAGAAGCCTCAGAGTTGTAACTCACGCTACTGATGATCGGTGAGCACACTAAGCTTGCTTCTTTACCAATTTTGTCTGGGATTACTCCACTATAAAGATGCACACTTTTACCAGGACCAGAATCCTCCTCGACTCCTAACATAAGTCTTGAAGGGGCTTGGTTTACTACAACCCCCGACCCTAGAGATGAAGACAACTCATCCACAAAGGTGGATTCATCGTCAGCTTTAATTATTGCACCTCGATTCGGAAGGTCTTGATTAGCTCGGTCAGTCTTTTCTAGTGGATCCTTCCTCCTCCCGCTCTTCTTCTCGCGTGCATGACGTGTGCTTGTCCTTTTAGATGTATTGGACTTATGGTCGTTTCTGTCTTCTGCAAAGAGGTTGAGAACTTCCATCTGCCGCATTGCGATTTCGGACTCCAGCTTCTTCCAACTTTCCTCCTGATTACGTACTTTTTATCAGATTAGACGAATCCTGATTTTTTATATGCAAAGCATTGGGTATCTTTGACAGACCCTAATACTACTTAATTGTAGAAAAAAGAGTCATCAAAAAAGTCTTTTCCTTCACATGTTTGTTTAGGCAGGACAGAATGAGATGAATGACTTTAGTCATAAAAGTAGGATATGCAGAGAATACCAGCAACTTAGCAGCTTGACTACCCTTCGGAGCTTCTTGAATTGGCATTCGGCCCCGCCGACATTTTCGAGTGACGTCTGCCCCTCTTTCCAGCAAGATTCCTCTGTTGAAGAGACGCAAAATCATTGACATGCAAGAAACATCACGTTATGAAACTATTTAGAATTCGGTTTGTAACAATCATTCCAAAAATACTAGTTACACCGACAAGGACCCAATTGATCCTTCCTTACACCTGCCTATAAGATCCCATGTCCTTCTCTTGTCCTACTTTCTACATTTCCTTCCAATTAAAGTTCAGGAGGACATTCGGACTGAAGAAAGCTCTTACAGACAATCAACAGAGTTGTTTCGTGCTCCGTGATGAAGTGCTGTGCAACCGTCGCCATCAGCGGCATTGATTTCAGCCCCTCCAGTCAACAGAACTTCTGTAGCTCCTACGCAGTTATGACTAACAGCGTGAACGAGAGCAGTTTTTCCTTCTGAGGTTCTTGCATTTACCTGTGCACCGGCCTGGATGTATCACACAGGAAAGAGGATAGTGCCGTGTGTTCAGCTAGGTGACATATCTGTGGAAAAAAAATCTAGGGATGTTTACACGGATGTGTCAACTCCAGAGGTATAGAATGTAAGATAAAAATTAAAAAGTTCTAAAAGAATTACCTGAAGAAGAATTTGAGTACAATCGCCATTACGGCCCTCTGCAGCAGCAATAAGAGCTGTAACACCCCCGTGAGATCTTGCATCTACCGAGGCATTGTAGCTGAGAAGAACCTTTAAACACTCGGAGTGTCCATTATATGCCTGGCCATCAGAAACCAAAAGAAACAATGAACTTTACCAAATTATTGGTTAAAAAAAAAAGATTGCAAATAATAGTAAGTTTTTCACTTCCAAGAAGAGGTGATAAAAGTTAACTTATGCCAGTATAATACACTAATCATGTGGCACAAGAAGTTAGTAACCATGCGAGTGGATGGAAGAACCTAATTTCTAGGACATACCTGCGTCTATTGACGGGGTTCAACCGCTGTAGGTGAGTGTAAAACCTTAGATGCATTCCAGTCTCTGGGATTGTATGTATTCGAAAATGACAAGTTGTGTACTTTGAACAGTTTGGATTGAGACTAGTACTATATCCAGGGTACTGATCTAAAAAGATGAGTTGTCTATTGCTATGCATGGAATTTGCATGCATGGTGAGGACCGAGTTCTACGAACTTGCTAGTTACGCGAGAACTAGTCAAAGATACATGGTCAAGCTTTACTTACTGCAGCAATAAGTGCTGTAACACCCACACGATCTTTGGCATCTACATTAGCTCCGTGCTTGAGTAGCAACTGGATACAACTGCGATATCCCACCTCAGTCTCCACATGGATCCAATTTAATACCTTTCTAAGGTACTGCCTCTTCATCATGCTTACTTAAGTTGACTGGAGAAAGATTTAAATACCAAAAATTTGGGATGTGTATCTCATATAGACATGCAAAAATATGTCACTGCCAAGTTCTAGAAAAATTTCACAGAAGAATCACATCCTACATGCGGATCTAAGCTACAAAGACTTGTGCTAAATGGGTGTAACAAGAGAAACTAGTGCCATTGCAATTTAGTTCTCGATGAATTTGTCCCACAGCATGAGCCATCTGTCTCACGAAGTGCTTAAATAAGCCTTGGAGGGGTTTTCTTTCGAAATGTTTCAACAAACATCCAGAGCATGGAATGCAATCGAGAGATAGTGAACAAGAGCGTCTTTTAGACATTCGACCTCTAACCATCGAAAACTTACTTGGAAAACCCACCGTCAGCTGCTGCCAGAAGGGGTGTCGCACCATCTGGATCATGGGTATCTACGTGAGCACCACTTGACAGCACAAACGTCACGACATCGACATGACCACCTCTGCAGGCCACTGCAAAAATATGTATACTGAGATTCTTTTCCAATTGTGGAAAGTGTGCACTGAATTGCATGCTACCTTGACCAAAAATCTAAATCATTTAAGAAGTAAACGTGACACAAGCCCAGCTACCGCGCCTTTCACCGAAAAGAATGCAGCAATCTGTAGAAATTTGATAGCGGCTCTCCAGCTCACCATTGGAGAGAGTAAATCAAGACATGTATCGAGTTCTAAACCCGAGTCACTATGTACATTATATTAAGTGCCTCATAATTGAAGTTCTAACAACACATACTTAATGTACTGATTGTACATTATTTGATAAAGACAGGGTTCCACAGGAACTCCAAACACTTCGTGACTACCATCCAATGAGGGATTCAGTAAGGCACGACACAAGCAAGATCAATACTGTTAGCAGCAATGAAACAACAATTCAAACCTGTGAGAGCATTTCCTAAAGCCACTGAGCCTAATGACTTGGATTTGCCGAGTTTGTTCGGAACGCTCGAACGGGACTCTCCAATGTCACCCAAAGCGGGAGCAGATGAATACGAGGTTTTAGACGACTTGTGACCTTTTTCATGTACAGAAGTGTCACTGTACTTGCTCTCGGCATCAGTCAGCAATTGTATGGTCAGGTCAATGTCACCTCGATTAGCTTTCACCGCCTCTGGCGGTTGATTACAGTCATCGCGGATCTTCACTGCGAGTTCTCGAGGAGTCCGCCCTTCTCGCTCGTGAGAAAGTGCGTTAGCACCTGGAAGAACAACATCAGCAACAAGCAAAATAGTTAAGAGATACGTCATTGGCCAATAAAGACTCTGTTAATCGATTACAGCAACCCTGAATGACGTGAAATTCATGACCAAGATTTGTAAATTCTCGATACATTACAAGTCCTAGCGCAAGCCAAATCAGCCGGAACTTTGTGAGCTTACCATGCTCTAGGAGAAGTTTCACACAATCACACCGGCTATAGCTGGCTGCCATGTGCAGTGGAGTATAGCCATCCTTATCATGCGCATGTATGTCTGCACCGGCATCCAACAATAGATGCGCAAAATCTGCTGAAATCATCCGGGATGCGAAATGCAGAGCTGTCCGGCCTTTCTCGTCTCGTGCATTCACTCCCCAATCCCGCGATTCCGCACAAGGGGTTTTCGTTTTGGCCGCTTTAAAAGGGGATATTGATGCTTTGTTCACTTTACCATTCTGGTTTCCAAGCCCCGAACCTACCCCACAAAAGGAGCGATAATTCTCAGTACTTGACGTTGTCAACATGCACGATCTAGGTGGAAAAAGACCGATCATTCGCTGAAATTTTGATACACAAGGTTGCATGAACTGTAAACAGCTCTGCATTTTAGGTGCACTCAGAATTTGACATAAAGCTGAGATTGTAGATTCTTGCTCTATTCCAAATTATTACTAGCGTAGTCTATGGTATGACGACAAACGTCGAAAAACAAGGAAGGTCAAGAAATCGAAATTTCACGAGGAAATAAGGCACAAACCTGATCCAAGACCAAGTGGCGGCATCGTGGACGGCAACAACGACTGATGACAAGATTCATTATCCCCTAGTATTCTCCGATGTAAACTCTCTTTCATTCGCGTCTCATCTTCCATTACTCCGCTACGTCGTTCCTTACCAGTCCCCAGCACTTGAGACAGCACGAGCAGCTTTTCTCATTTAAAAGCTCGACTAATTCTTTCTCAAGTGCTGAACCAAGTGCTTCCTTGAAACGAGTCTCGTTCGTTTAAAATTTGACATTGAAAAAGTACATTCTACTGCAAAACTAATTGTGCAGCATCAATTATATGCGAATTGAACAATCGGGGACCTCATGATTAGAATGTGGATATTGAGAACCTTACAAACCGAGTCAGATAATCCAGTCTGTATCCTAATCCCTAGCGCAAAGAAGGAAGCCTTGTCGGGCAGCTTTGAACAGCCTAACATCCGAGTCTCTGAAGACGACCTGAGCTGTGAGTAACAATACTATACACTCACAAATCAAGTTCGACCATGCGAGTCACAACATTATCTACGAATTAAAAAATCCCTCTCGTAGAACTATCAAAAATTCGCCAGTAATGATCATCATCACTATTTCCGGTCCAGGTTTTGCAAGGTAATGCGACGACATCGCATCCTACAGCGCAATCCTATCTCCACGCGCATATACAAAATTCAGAATGCCGCCACGATGGACATCGATCGATTTAAGAAAAAGCTGTCAACACTCCTTCCCTGGCACCGAAACTCTACATAGAAAACACAGTTTTTACCGACAGAATTGGCAGCGAATCAGGAAGATGAGGAATCTTCGGAGAGAGAGGAGAATCTTACATAGGCCTGGGAATGCTGGTCCTCAAGAATTTCCATGGAATGGATCGTCGTCGGTGTGAGCCACAAACTCGGTGGAGCGCGCTGGTTATGTGATGTCCACTGAGAAGCTCAAAGAGACTAGCGCATTCCGGGTGGAATTGTCGTGTGAGCTTGAGCTTCTTAGCGACTGTTCTGGCACGGAATACTGTTAGAGGACAACATGGAGCATGTATTGTAAGACCCAGAGAGCAACACACTGGTTTCATAAGGAGAGTCCTATTCAAGCAGGTTTATTTGAATTTATTTTTAAACTCTTCAAATTTTGACGGGTGGGTATCTTGGTAGGAATGCTCTTTTTATTTCAAAAATAAATAAGTATAAAAATTTTCCTTCAAAACTGTTATATTTTGTTCAAGAATGTTGCAAATATTTGTGGATCTAATTTGAGGTTAATGTGGACATATATAGAAACTATTTTCTAAATGTGAAATCAAAAAATTAATTTGAAAATAATTTAATATTTAAGAAATCTATGGATTGAGTAGAAATTTATCAAATTAGATGAAATTCAAAGTGACAACATGAAAACATAACAATGTGAATTATCTGTTTTTCATTTCTAAATGGAAATTTACAACATAATTTATCAATAAGATATATATTTTTTAATTTCTAATGGAATTATATTTAAGCAATAATATATTCAATTTTTAGCTACCACAACCAATTGAAGATGATATATTTTTTGAGTCTAGTCTTGTTGTTACTTTTATAAAGAAGTGTAATATGGCATTTTACAACACTTGGCTGTTTGGTGGAAATTGGCAGTTTTTTAAAGCATGGTTAATTATTGCAATATAATCTTCACCAATACAAAAAAAATCCAAAATTTCAAAAACTCAATCATTTTTCTTGATTATTCATACTTTTTGTTGTTTTTTTTTTGGTTTATTAAAGTTCAAAATTAAGATTTAATTCTTCATTTTTTCAATTTCTAACCTTGAAAGATATAATATTTAATAGAAAATATAATTCCTTTAAAGACACTTGTTACTTTTTGTAAAGCTAAGCACAGAAGTTATGGCAAATTCTATTTGATTCATATGGATTCTTTTAAAGTATGCCTTGAAATTTTCTATTTTAATAGCAATAGGTCTTGGGTATTTAAACTTGAGTACATCAAATAATTCTTTATTACTACTATTATCAAATTGCCACCATCTAATCCTTATACATATTCTTTGGCCTTGTTTCTTTTAAGCTTTAAATTGATTAAAGTAAAAATTAATCTTTTTCAAGATTAACTTGAATAATACAATTTGAGCTATTAGACTAGAGATTCAAATAGACATGTTGTAATTTTCCTTGAAGTTTAATGAAAGGTTTTATTTTAAAGAAGCTTATTCTTTACAAAAAGACTTATAGATATCTGTAAAGATTTGTATTCTATAGATTAAAATATATATATATATATATATTTAAATACTATCAAGTATAAAACTTAAATCCTATTAATTCTAAATCTAAATTTTTATTAATTTGAAATAAAATTTTAAAAATTGAGTTAATCCTAATAAAAGCCTAAAAGAATTTTAATAAATCTTAAGAAATCTCAAAAAAAATCTTTTAAAATAATAATCAAATTCTAAACAAATTTTTTGCAAAGTTTTTTAAAAAAATCTACTAAATCTTAAATATATCTTAAATTTTTTTCTATAGAAATCCTTAAAAAAATCTTTTAAATTCTAAATAAATCATAAACAAATGCTATCAAATCCTAAAAAAATCCTAAAGTTCAAAAAATAACTTGAATAAGCTATAATTCTTGATTTTATTGTTTAACAACTTCAAATCTTGCATGCTCTTAAATACGTTTTTTCTAAATAAGCACATAAATTTTGACAAGATCTAATTTAAAAATTGAAAGAAAATGACCAAAGAACTACTTAAATATTGAGAAATACTTAAATACTTAAATATTAAGTGAAACCTCCTTTTTCAATTTTAATATCAAATTTCCAGCAATAAAAACTCTTCTTTCCACATTTGATTTATTTTTGTTCTTCATTAATAATATCAATCAAAAGCAAAGACCAACCATTGACAATAAGATGATATAAATCAAAGAGAAAACAATCTAAGTTTTTAGCATTAGAACTCAATTGCAATATATAGAACCAATAGCCAACAAATTCACTTTCAAAGTTGTCATTTGTAAATTTTCCAAATAAACCACTTAGATTGTTTCAATCTTTATAATATCAAAATTGAAATTGAGATCTTAAAAAGAAATATATGTTTTCTTGAATTATTGGTAACACACAATACGTATGATACTATAATCTTAGAAGAGACTTTCAATGCTTAATAATACTACTAGGAGTGAATATTATACATACTAGAATACAAAATATAATATTTGAAGGTAATTATAAAGGCCTCAATAATAATCAAATAATTGGATAGTCTTCTTGTCTTAATATAAAACATTATTAATGGCTAAATTAACATATTAACTACTTTTGTGTAAAAAAAAATATAGTTTGTTATTAGTATCATTTAACATATCTTAGACTTCATTGATTTTTTGAAATAACTTAATTTTAAAATATTTAGATTCTATTAGACATGTCATGTGGCTATTAAAAATTATTCTATAAGTTTCTTATTTTTATAAAGTTGTATTAGAAGCAACTTGTAACATAATATTTGGACCTTAAATCTTATAATTTTTAAGGAGCTTCTACAAAACCTTCTTAGTAACTAATATATATAAAGCCAATATTGATCTTATCATTAGTCTTATCAACACCTTTATTGTATTCTAATCTTTCATACTTCTTTGTAATTGGTTTTTTTTATTTTATATTTAACTCATATTTATCTATTTGTTTTTAGTGACACAATAATATATTTTCTTTTCAAATTTTTAACTTAATTCATGTCCTTAACATGCATATAATATTTTTAATAGTAGATCTATATAGTAATTGAATTAAAATATATCAAACAAACTTTTTGAAGATTTTTTTTTTTAAATAATTATATCTATGGCTAATCTTTTTTTCAAATAAAATGAAACTTGCAACCAATTTTTAGAGTTAGTATATCTAATCTCTAAAGCCAACTTGATCTAATTTTCTACTTATAAAACAATCTATAGTAGTATTATAATATGATTTTTTACTTTTTGTCTCATAATTTCTCAATTAATTATAATTTTTTATAATTCTATATTCAATAATAAATCAACATAGCTTTTTAAAAATTCCAATAGAAATAACTCATCTAATGTGTATTTAATTAGATAAAAGCAACCATGTTGATAATATAATTTGTACAAAAGAATCATGTCTTATTCATATTTGAGATCTATAAGCAAGTTCAAACCAAAAAAATGTAAAACTTTTGTTCCACTTGCATATTCTATTATGGTAGTACTAAAATAACTTTTGATACATTTCCTACAAATTGTCATCTTTAATATAACATAGCTTTCAAAAGACAATCTTAAAATAAATAATAAAAAAATAAGAACTACAAAGGCTATTAGCAATTTCTTCTTGACTAAATTTATTGAATATTTTTTAAGGCATGACTAATTCACTACTTAATTTAATAGCTAAGATCATACCAAAGATTCACTACAAATGAGCAAAGTCCACAACTCCAATCTTAGCTCTAATTGATGGCAATAGAATGGTCGTTAGATCTCAAATTCAATTAATATAAGATCTAAAAATAGACAAAATAATAATAGAAAAAAATCTATCCAAAATAGCTTTGCTCTAAAAAAGAATGTTGTATATTAGTGGGGTGCAATCTTTAGACAGTCAAAGCAATAAAAGAATTCTTATGAGTACATTGTGACTTTAGATGAATCTAATATTATATAATTCCATTTGCTATGACAATAGAAAGACACTCTTCTATAGTCGGAACTTCAAAGATCCTCTAAAATTCTTTGAATATATTTGTGGATCCAACATTCTATGCCACTACTATGCTAGAGCCCATTATCAAGGAGATGTTAATGTTGAACATCTCATATTATATGTATCAAAAGCTATGACTTAAATAATATTTAACTAAAACATCAAAAGTATCTTTTTTTTGGCTTTTGACACTTTTTGTTAAAAAGAAATAATATTCATTATGCTTTTATGTTTTCATCCTATTTTAATAATATGATATCAAAGCTAGATGAACAATACTTCAAATAAACATCAATCTAGATGAATAGTATTATGGATGAATATCAAATTAGATAAAATTAAATGTTTTATGTAGATGAAAAAACTAGATGATCTGCCTACTACCAAAGCTCTATTGCCACTAGAACATTATTAAAGCCAACGAATTACTGGAGCTGTTAGGATTAGAATTTAATTCTATTGATGTTGGTTTTTACTTAAATAATAATCTATTTGTTGCTAGTCATAAAGACAAGTTTTTTTTGCTCCAATATAGCTTGGTACTTTCAGTCTCCACATATTATATTTTATAGATTATTTGTTAATTATTATCTTATAGTTATTTATTATTATTCATTAAATGAATTGACAATGGCATCTTCAATGGATTATCGTATTGATCAATTAAATGAAAAAAATTATTGCAAATAGTAATTTAATATGAAATACTTGATGCACATTTATAAGCTCACATATATATATATATAGATCGGATATTAAAATGTCTTATAGATATTAATAAAAATTTAAAATAAAAATCAAGCAAAGTACAAGCATAAGCACAAGCATTTATTTCATTCAATGTTAAGCCCTTGCAATTAATTCATATATGCAAATGTAATACTACAAAAGAGATGTGGAATGTATTGGCTAAGATCCACAAGTCCTCAAGAGTTATTACTCAAATATTTTTAATAAAGAAATTATATAATCTTTAATATGTAGATGGAAAATCCATGGAGATTTTTTAAAGATTTTTTACCTTAGAAATCAATATATTGAAGTTGGTAGTCAAATAGGCAAATAGAGCATGGCATTTCTTATACTTACCACATTACCAAAATCTTGAAATTCACTTATTTAGTTGATTGCATCAAGGAAAAGAAAAAAAATCATAGAAGAGGTAATGTGATCTATTTTCCTTGAAGAAGAGATATAAAAGAAAGAAAAGATTAGCTCTCTATTTTTTGCTTTAGCAGTGCCTGTAAGAGAAAAGCAAGTCTTAAAAAAGTACCATCTTTAAAAAAAATAGAAGCCTAAGATTAATAAGTCTAGAAATACTTATAGGAATTGTGGATAGAAGTAATATCATCAAGGTGATGTAAAATATTCTAAAATAAATAGTAGTGGTGTAATAAATGCTAGTATTATTGTTATTCTTTCAACTCAAGAGACATCATTTAATTCAAAAACAATGATTGTATTATTATTTCAATTATGGCATTATGTATGCATTGATAGTACAAAGGATGTAGACATCTAATGAGATATGAGTAAGCTTCTCAATTTTGATAAAATGTGGCTATCTAACTTCAAGGCTATAATAGTGATATTAACAAATCATGAGGCTCATGTGAGATGCATCTCATAGTTTTAGATCCTATTGAAAAACACATTCCTATAGTTGTGAAGGATATCCATTGAATTCTTAGAGTACATAATATTTTATTATTAGCTCCAACTTTATACAAGAAAGGTTACAAATTTAACTTAGATGTCAATGGAATTGATTGGATTCTACCTTCAAGTAACTTACTTACACAAGGCATGTTAGGAAGTAAAGCTTATCTTAAGCCTTGTGAAATTGAAGAGATTGTTACAATTTTTAGCTCATCTATTTTAAGTTATATACTTATTGAATGGCATCAAGAATTTGCACATGCTTCAATGCATATAGTAAGGGAGGCATATTAGGTGAATTGTATTGAAGGATTAAAGATCAACAAAGAGAAGGATAAAATACCTATATAAAAGTTATGCATTGTTGGCAAGGCCCATATGCAATCTTTCTCATACAAGAACAAATATATCAATGATATTTTAGATGTAATAGTGTCTTATCTTAGTTATTTTGATACAACTAGCTTTGGTGGCATCAAATGATTAGGTGTGTGGATTGATGAATATTCTAGCTATTATAGCTTTTTATTTCTTCAAATTAAGGACCAAGTACATGTTCTTAATAAGACTTGGAAAGCGAGGGTATAAAGAAGAACTAGAAGAAAGATAAAAACTTTTCTCACTAATCAAGGCATTGAATTCTTGAATAGTAAGCTTGGTTTTTACTTCAAAGCTAAAGGCATTTGGCATATGATCACTCTTACATATATACATAAAATTATTAACATGGCACAATATATAATGTAGACTATTTTTAAAGAAGTATAAATATTTTTAAACAATGCCAAGTTGAATTGTGAGTATTAGGCATTTGTAGCAAAATTTGTAACATGGACTTGCAATTGCCTTCCATTAGCAAGACTCAATGATAAGATATTACATGAAGTTTTTTTACAGTAAAAAATCTTTTCTTCAAAATGCTCATCACTTTGATTTTCCTACTTGGTATCACATATCAAAAGAAAAATGTCAAAAGTCTGATACAAAGGCAAAGAAGGAAATTTTTGTTGAGTATTCAAAAGTGGCAAAAGGATATAAATTTTTTCTACTTGAAGAGAAGAAGGTGGTCTTTAGTCAAGATTTGATTTTTCTTGATAATAAGAATGAATTACTTGGTGAGCTACTAATCCCTTAAGAAAAAATTAAAAAAGATATGAATCATAGAAATAATCTTGATATACTAGTTTTTCAACATCCAAATGAATTAAAAATATTGCAACATCAAGCCTCAAGGTTACATATGCATGATAGATTGGATAGAAAAATAATTGAAGAAGAAAGAAACTCTATATCAATAGAAGTAGTAGAATTCTATCAATCAAAAGAGAGAATAATCACTCAAGTTCTACCACCAAGATATTGTTATGTAAGTCACATTCACCTAAAAAATATTATAAGCCATAGTAAGATGCGTCACACTCCTTGAAAAAAAAAAATAACAATTTTATTTGAAGAGATTATGACTTACTGATTAAAATAATGGATGTGATTTATGTTAATGAATATGCAAAATCAGAGACTATTGAGCAAGCCATGAATTCACTTTTTTGCAAAGAGTGGAATCATGCCATGAAGGAAGAACTCAATTCTTTGAAAGATCATGGTATATGGAAATTTTCATTTTTATCCAATGATTGGAAGGCTATAGATTCAAAATGGATTTTTAAGAAAAAGCTTGTTAATAATGGTTGCATTGAATATTTTAAAGCTTAATTGATTGCAAAGGATTTTACACAAGTGAAAGATCTTAATTACTAAAAACTTCTACACTACTTACTTGCCTTGTAATAATTTATATATTTATTGCAATTGCCGCTACCTTTAATTGAAATATGTTGCAACTTGATGTTACTTCAACTTATTTAAATGGTAAACTTAAAGATGAGGACATTTATAAAAAAAATCTAGAAGATTTGGAAGTTCCATTGGAATACAAAGGCAAGTTGTTGTAATTGCTAGAGATTTTATACAATTTGAAGTAATTTTTATGTCGATGGAACGTGAGTTTGGATAAATCTTTATTGAATCTTGGTTAGAAGCGCTTAGAATTAGATCCTTGTTTGTACACAATGTACATTGAGAGACTAGTTCTTGCACTAATTATCTATGTCAAAGATGTATTTATTGGTGGCAAGAACTTTGATATCTTTGTAAAATACAAAGATGAATTGCAAGAGTGCTACAATATGAAAGACCTTGATGAACCTAATGATTTTCTTGGCATTGATTTTTTATAAGATAAGAAAAAAATTAATATTAATTTGAACCAAACTAAGTATATTTGTCAAAAGTTAAAGGAATTTGGGATAAAAGATAGAAAGGCAATTGCTACACTTATGGTATTAAGTCATATCACTAAGCATGAAAATGATAATTTTTTTTCATGTAGAAGGTATAAAGTTTTATCAAAAAGCTTTAGGTTTGTTATTATACCTTATAAATGACATTCCATTTGCTTGTGAACACTTTGCTCAATACATGGCACATCCACATGTTTCACATAGACAAGGAATCAAATGAATATTTTGTTACTTCTAAAGAACAAAATATTTGGTACTGCAGTATGGAAGAAAAGAAGCAAATTTGCAACTAGTAAGTTAGAGTGATGTAAATGGAGTAGGTTGTGTGGAGATGCACCATTCTATAGGAGATTATGCATTTACATTGAACATGGCAATTATCACTTGGTCAAGCAAGAAGCAATTTTAATTTTTGTTTCATCACCAGAAGGCGAATATGCAACTTTGGCTGCTATAGCAAGAAAGACTTTGTCGCTTTGTAAAGTACTTATGGATTATGACATTCTTGAGCCGGAAAGAATTTTTATTTATAAGGATAATGAGAATACCATTGCTATTGCCAAGAATCCAACATATCATGGCCATACAAAGCATTGGAATACAATGTGTGGAAAAAGGACATTGATTTGGAATATTGTCCCATAAAACAAATAGCAACGGACATCCTTACAAAACCTCTCCTTAGAGATAAGTTTTTAGCTTTTAGAGATATATCAAGTCTTGTTTTAGTAGAAACTTAAGTCCTAGTTTTGGAGGAGGAATGTTGAATGTCTCATACTATATGTACCAAAAGCTATGCCTTAACCAACATTTAACTAAGACTTTGGAAGTGCCCTTTCCTTGGCTTTCGGAACTTTTTGTTAGCAATGAATGATGTCCATCCTGCTTTCATGTTTTCATCCTTTGTAACAGTTAAACTCGAACAAGAATTCAGCAAGGGGGTTAGTAAGATATCACCCCTTTGGCCTCGGGTGTATTAACGACATTGAACAAGGATTCTACATTTCATCCTTCGATCTTCCATTCAGAGGACTTGCCCCTCCACACCACATGTTGTCTCTGCCATCCAAATGGGGAGAGTAATGTAAGGAATAGTTTCTGTTGAGACTGAGAAATTTATGCAGATATGTTATCGACCACAGTAGAATTATTGGTCCTCGCCTGGATGTGACGTGCATTCTCTTATTGATTGCTTCCAAAACAGCAGAGACCTTGTATATTGTTCATGTGTTCATATTGCCTCTGCAATTCGCTTCACAACTTGTTTTGATGATTCTCTCTTGATGCAAGAAAGAACATACCATCGAAGTTTATAGTTCTCAGAAACAGTAATTATACGCACAGCAATCTAAACATGGAAGGGTATCACTATCTGATCCGATCGACATTACAGAAACGTACACAATGACTGTCATCTGAGGATCTCGCCGCCCAAATAAACGGGGCTTCAGATTAGCCCTCGCAATACTGGCTACCAAATCCTTGCAAAGCGTTTGCATCTTTGCACCCAAACCCCACTTGCATGCTTCGCAGATGCAACCATACGTAAAAATCGACAGAGAATACCCTATGCGTTGAACTGATTGGTTTCATCATGAACTGTAACTCGCATCGACTGTACTTAGAGGTTGGGGGCACTGCAAAGGCCAGGACTCTGGCAGAATAAAAATAATGCTAAGTGTCCTGCGGCAGGCTTGGAACTACAATAGGATCAAAGTATGGTACATGAATACTGCTCTGTACAGAAGAATACCCATACACTTTACTTGCGCGATTCTACCTCCCTGGAAAATCAAAAAAGAATAAATTTAGCCACGTCCGTCAATCATAACTTTTCTTTACGACTCGAACTATTCATAAAATTCCCATAAAGAATTGAAGTTGTTCTCAAGGTATTAATCCAAAGACACAAAACCTCCCTGCTTCAGAGTTGAAAGACCCATTCCAGTATGAAAACATGAGCTGCAACATAAAATATCACCTGCTCATGGCGTTAGCCATCAAGTCGGGATAGCCTCGAGCGGAATAGCAATGTATGAAACCTCTTGATTGAACAACACCCTATCAGCACAATATGACATTGGCAAACCAAAAACATTAAAATACTGAACAACCCCATTTTAAACTTTGGATGATGCGAAAACAAGAATATACAAATAAATTATAACATCAATTAAGTACGCAGATCCCAAGCGATGAATCGCCCAAGGTAAACTAAAAATAACAAACTCAATTATGCTTCCATCAGATATGATGTGCAAGGAAAGTACCGGGGATTTAGAGTTGGCTGGTTTCACAAATAACAGCCCCAATGGGTTCCCATGATCTTCCATGTAGGCTTTTCTAGCCTCAATGAGTTCCATGACCCATTCATAGACCTGAGTCCATGAAAAAATCTCATTAGATTTAATGCTGTGAAGCGAAATAATACCAATACCACTAATTTCATCTGTAAATGACAGTACTATGGATCCAAAGCCGTCTTACTTGATTCAGACGGAAGCGGGGACGTTCGAGTTCAGGACCATGTATTTTTACACCTGTGCCTTGACATTCAGGACAAAAAATGGCCGTCTCGGACGTGAACTCAGTCTCGTTCCCAAACCCGCCATGTCTGTCGTTAGTGTGGCCTTCCTGGCACGCACTAGGATGCACAGTTTTGCGACGCTTCAACTTTCGACTCATAGCCAGGGAAGCATTCCAAGTTTTTGCTTCGCAAAATGCAATCCACTCTATCAAGCAGGCGCTGTGAAAAACATGAAAAACCTACAAATGTAGGAACTTGTTAAACACATCTTGGACGAAATTCGATGCTAAAGCAAGATGACATTCTTGTAAATGTACATGATGATGGACAGATGCTTGACTGTCAATTCAAATGAGATGAAAAATCCACGCCTTACTTCTCAGTTAACAATGCAGTCACGACCCATGAATTATCTGCATTTCCAAATAGACAACCATGCTTAGAGAAGATAATGGTAATCATAAAGTGTTTCTAAACACGCACCCCTCGTCTGTTCCGACTTCCACAGATCATCTGCCCAGATTTTACGTTCACCAAAGCAGCGACATCCTGGATCGGGAGCAGCTTCTGACGACAAATGAAACATATGCGATCTGGATTCTTAACTTGCTTCTGTTTCCATATTCTTCGATAAGTGGTTATTGGTCCGTCATTCTCGACACCGCTTTTCGCTGGGTCGCCGTCACTTTCCAGCACTTCTGGAGTCACCAGTTTCGTGGGGTTTGTTCTGATTGTCAATGTTAGTGGCGACAGGGCTTTGTGCCGAGCCGTGGAGGGCGAAGTTCCCGTTGAAGCAATAATTTCTCGAGAAACTTGCGTCTTAAACCTGTAGTTCCCTGGAACTTTGCGAGACATTTTGTGTCCTCTACGCAAATTTATGCTCTCCAAAACCCGTGAACCTTTCGTTCCAGAGCGGCTCAAGGACGGCCAGTTGCCTCCCCTGCCAATACCATCACTGTAGGGGAAAACAACCAAAGCATACTCAATTCCGGATGGACCGCCGCTTTTATTCCAGTTCTTCGCTGTAAGCTTATACATCCCCTGCCAGAAAAACCAAGAAGCCTCCACGTAAGCACTACCCGTGGCTTTGGTTTTAAGAAGAAGTTCCCCGCTGCCAATCCACTTCAAGGACGTCGTCGACGACGTTGCAGACACACCATGTCCCTCAAATTCTCCCTCCAGACACGATTCCTCATCCGACAGGGTCGATCCCTTGTTACCCGCATCCCACCTCTCCCTCGCCCCTGTCGCCGTCGTGGCCCAGCTGTCGTCGTCCGCATCGACATCAACAAACTCTCTCTTTGCCTGCTTCCCCCACGCCTCTCCCTTCGCGCGCACGGACTCATAGTGCCTTGAATGGCTCTTACCGTTCAGATGATCCCAGAGAGCCGCTTCATTGTAACATCTTGTATCACACAGGGAACAGTAAAGAACCGCGGTCACTCCGTCCCGCCGAAGCACCACATGCTCATGCCCTTGGTGTCGCAGATCGCGCACAACTGCTCTCGCCAAGTTCTCTCTCATCCTCCTCTCGCTCTCTCTTACCTCACACTTACCTCCTCAACCACATGTCAGAAAACAACGACAACGACAACAACAACAATAACAACGATGACAACAAAATCTACTGTTTAATGAAGTACTCTCGCTTTCATGACTTCGTAATATGCTTTCCCACCTCAAAGCCTTCTTCCCCTCAGCTTCCTTGCTGCTTCTAGTCCTGTCCATCCCTGCTGACCCCTCTCTACCTCATAGACCAAGCAAAAAGCTCCCAATCAGACTCTGCGCAAAGTGGAAACGCGTGAAAGAAATAAGAAAACAGAACAGGACTTCTTAATCTTCTCCGAGTCCCAACTCCCTTCGCTTCAACCCCTTCCCCTCGCGAAAAACTCCAGAAGACAGATCGCAAGTCTGGTATCGACAGAGGGCTTAACACGGCAGCATTGCAAGGCGACGAAGCCCGTCGCCAACTACCACCCCAATCAAGCACCCCGCGCAATCAAAGCCCTCCCTCCCCGCTACCTCTGACTCGCTCTCTCTCTCTCTCGTTTGAAACTCGACGCCCTCGTGCTCACTCGCTCGCTCTCTCTCCACCCCGCACATGGATGGATGAAGTTATAGATGAATGCATGCATGCGTGTATAGATGGAAGTTTCTGTCTTCTTCCTCGTCATCCATCATCTTGAACCTCATCCAAATACAGTACCGCCACAAGGGATGAATACAGCTGGACAATGGTGAGTGCCCACGTGCGTTTTGAGGGCTTCGTGAGATGGGCATCCATTTGAGCATGCTTTCTTCGATTGCCATGTCATCATCCAATGATTGTAGTGCCACGTAGGCATGCACGCAATCCAAATGGGGGTGAATTCTTCATGGACTTGGAATTAGGGGGTGAACTTTAGAATGAGGGGTTGGTTATATTGCTATTCATCAACTTCACAGCCCAAGTATTACCTACAACAACAACGATTGCATGGATTTAGTGAATAAATGAAGCACAATTAACTTGTAGGATATTATTTTTTACCATATTATACAGATGTACATGAAAACATTGATTTTTTTTCCATATATATATCTAATATTAAAATATAAAAAGATAACAAAATAAAAAATAAAAAATAAAAAATAAAACATATACACACACACACACACACACTTAAGATTTTAATTCTAATGGCAATAGGATAATTCTTTACAGTGGTACATTACTTTAAATTTGTTGTTCCACAGATAAAATCATTCTATAAATTAGAACGTGTTTGCTATTCTCATGCTTACTAAAAAAAACATTAGGTGGACACTAATAATGTGCAAAGTTTTATCAAAAATTTGTGAAGACGTTTGCAATATTTTCTACAAATACTTCTGTTGACCAAGTTTCAATCCCTAAAAACAAAGATGCAACCTTCAAAATTTGATCTGGTGACATTATGTACCACTGATTTAAATTTAAATGATATACTAAAGATAAATCGAAAACTTATTGCTCTGAATAATTTCACTCGTGACTTTCTACAACTTCAAGTATTTCAAAAATAAAATAAAATATCACTGGAATCCAACATTTGGAATCACACCTTCTTATTCTTGTCTGAAAATCCTGCAAAATTCATTTCAGCTTTTAAAGTATCAAACGTTCTCTTGGAAACGCAATTCTACTATTTTTGAGCACCCAATATTCCATTGCAAAACTCAAGAGCACGCTGTTCATTTGTTCTTACATGTGATAATTCACAACAACAAATGTGAAGGTTGGTGGCTTGGTATCGCTTTGCTTGGAATCATCTCTGGTCGGCGTCCACTGGATGCCCTGGAAAGGGTCGCCGACCGGATTCAGAAACCGCGAGGAACTGTGTAGCGATATAAACCGAGAGTGAGACCGGGAGTGAGACTGAGAGTGAGACCGAGTGGCAAAGTCCCCACCTCACAGCCGCTGCGTGGCCCTCTTCACGTCAAAGCCATGTGACGTCAAGATCGAAGTCATTCGCTATTCCTCGGCGAATCGATAAAAGATTAAACCAGCTCTTCGACGATCTCCGGCGTACTCGACACTCTCCAGAAACTCCTCAGATGTCTTACAAGCCGACAGATGCCTCCGTTTAGGAAAATCGGCGACATTTTTCCTCGAACCATTAATGCTCACTCGGTCGTGACAGTTCCATCGGCACAGTTGCTTCATACTTTACTTCCAGCAAGTCAATCGTTACGTGCGCTGGTCTCGAGGGGGATGTATATAAGTTGATCTGGTTTCAATGTGGAACAGACCAGACAGTGGTGTCGATTGCGCTCATTGAATTGGCTCCGTATCTGCTTGCTCATTGAGCGTGGAGTTTTGGATACCGGTGAACTGTCTGTCGTAGATCACCGTCATGGGTACCGTGAGAGGGATTGTGCTTGTGGCTACTCTTTTGGTGGTCGCCGCTGCACCCGTTTTCACTGCGGCTGCAACGGGGGGATCAATGTTGGACGCGTTGGGGATAACTTGCCGGGCCCGGGTCGGATCGTCGAACTGCTGCAACGCCGCAAGGTGAGAATTTACGATGCCGATCTAAAGATGCTGACCGCTTTTAAAGGATCCGGCATTAAAGTCACTGTGGCGGTTCCGAACGACGCTGTGGCAACCGTCGCCAGCAGCCAGCAAGAGGCCGACAGGTGGGTCCGCACCCACGTCAAGCCATTCGTCAGTTTCATCGACCGAATAGCCGTTGGAAACGAGTGGCTTCATGGACACAAACGAGATGTGTCTCCACTTGTATTAGCGATGCAGAATATCCATCGATCGCTGGTCAAACTCAGCCTTAGCAAAATCAAAGTGACAACACCCCACGCCTTCGACGCCATAGGCTTTCCCCCGTCGAAGGGCAGGTTCCCGTATCCCGCGGACATGAAACGCATCCTCAACTTGCTCCAGACCACGAAGTCTGCTTTCACTTTGAACGTCTACCCATTCTTCGCTTACAAGGTTAATGCTAACGTAAACAGGGAATATGCAGTCTTCAACCCAAACAGCAACCATGTGATAGACATGGGAAGGAGATACACGAACTTGTTCGATGCCCAGGTGGACACTCACAGGAGCGCTATGGCCGCTATTGGCTACCCCGATTTTCCTCTCGTCATCGGGGAGACCGGATGGCCGAGTGCCGGAAGCAACGCTCGTGGAGTCAACATCCAGGATGCGCAGACATACAACAACAACTTGGTGAAGCATGAGCTGAGCAGCGAAGGTACCCCGATGCGTCGCAACGTCAGAATGCCGACGTATATCTTCGCGCTTTTCAACGAGAACTTGAAAGGTGGCGGGATCGAGAACAACTGGGGTTTGTATCACCCCAACATGACTCCAGTCTACAGTATCAATCTATCCGTGTAGGACCTCTGTCAATGATTCCTAGCGATTCTGCAACATTCGGCAGATATCGGTTGTTTAGTTGAGGCCGTGTGCAGCTAATGATAATGAGTTCTCGGTGTCCGCCCAAGACTTCAACCGAGAACTTTCATTTGCGATCGGATGCAGGTCGGATTAGGAAGTCGAGGCAGTGCTGTAGAACATTGCAAAGAGCTGAAAAGTGGTTTGGTAATGAACGAAAAATTCAATAGTAACTTTAACGGTGTGAATAAAGTTGGATGTGTACCCAGGCCTGCTGCTCTTTGTCTAAGAATATTTTGAATGATGGCATACTTGCGAGTGCGTAAATGTGATCGTGATCGGTTCCACTCTAGAGCGGCAGTGAGTTTGCATCCACTGCCTAATGGTGTATGCGAGCTTTGCTGTGCTTGTCAAGTTGGGCTTCCGTAGCCATGAGTGAGTGGAGATGTGCAAACCCAGTGGTAAGAGTTAGAGTGATCAGGTTTAGACCGCACGATCAGATTCCCTGCTAAGTCGCCATATCCATCAGGACGACAGAGACAAGTTCAAGTTGTTTGGATGTTGAGTTTTGCGACAAGTCGATAGCAACACAATGCGTAGCCGCAACAAGCAGGACTTGGGTCCATCTTAAGACATTTAACAACAGTTTGATTTCAATCTCATCTTGTTTGGGCTGACGTGCCAAGTTCCAACGAAACAATATTACAAAGTCTGTCCAGTTATGTTGGTCAAGTCAGCATTATAATAAGCAAGTCAGCATTTTTTCGAAATGAGTCTCAGCTTGTGTGCGAAGACGTTGCACGAATCATTATATTCTCTTATAATTTTATAGATCATTTTGTGTATTATGACTTTCAGTTGTAAAACTAATTGTTCTAATTGATTGTAGTTCAAGAACTCATTTACCTAATAATCCAATTTAGATATTTTTAGAAAAATCAAAATATAATAAAAATTAAATACTTTACAAAATCATCATATAAATAAATTAAAAGAATTAAAACACATGTTTAAATTTAAGTTAAAGATGTAAATTTTATTTTTAATATTAAGTAATCTAAAATAGATTTTAAAGAATTTTATTTATGTATTTTAAAAATCATAAATAAAAAAATAAAAAGTTAAAAGTTAAAAGTAAAAAATATTAAAAAATTATGAGATACTAATTCTTTTATATAAACAAAGCAATGTTACTACTACTTACCATATAAAAGACTTTGAAAGTACAATGATAAAGCATAAAAGATTACATTAATACTTAAGTTTTAAATATAAATAAATAAATAAATAAATAATGATCTTATATTTTATAATTTTCTCAGCTTTGTAATAAATATCTTATGGAATTCATTAAAATTTTAAATAAAAACTTACAAAACAAATTATGTAGACCATTAGAAACTCTTTCAAAAAGATGTTAAAAATAGAGAAGTAGTACAAGTAAAAATTAAAGAAACAAGAGTTTCAAATAACCTTATACACCCATGTAATTCTAAATCCTTAATCATAAATCAAAAAACAAACTAACTTTTTGTACAACTTGTAAGACATTTTAAACTCGCTACAAGAATTGTAGACATCAAGAAGAAGGGGAAGCGAGAAGTAGCTCACTTCAAAATCAGAAAAAAAGAAGTCAAAATGTCCAAGGACTCCCTTGTAATCCTATATTCTAAAAATCCTAAATCCAAAATTCTTCAAATTCTAAATTTTAAAATCTAAAATGCTGAAGTCTAGTTTAACTCTGAGAATTTGCAACCACAATATAAACATCTTATTACATAAATTATCTACTTTAATCTAATAGTATTAAAAGTCTATATATAGATTAGATTTCATTTTTTCACATTTTATAAAAATATTTATTTTATAATTTTAAAAGACTTATATCTTATTAATATTTGATCCAAAAATAAATTCTAAAGATTTTATACATATTATTAGAATGTAATGCACAAAAAATTAGAAAGTTGGTCAATCCTAAACTTAAAAAAGACAAAGTAAACAAATCAAAAAAATATATTAAGTCAAAGTTCGTATATCTAAAAATTAAAAAAACTTGTATAGTATTTTAAGTACATTATTAGATTTGAAGAGTCCAAAAATAAAAGAATAGATTAAATCAAAACTTATAAAAAATTTACTATTTGTATAGCTGACTCAAAAAGTAAATTAATTAAATCTTTAATGTTTTTATATGTATATATTTTAAGATAAATTTAAATAAATATTTAGATTTTGTGATCATAAATTATAAAACTTGGCTTATCTAGAGCTTGCAAAAGACACCATATATTAAAGTCAAAAATATTATATCAAAGTCAAAGTCAAAGTAATTATATCTTATAAACTAAAAGCTTATAGAACAAATGATTTATACCATTGAAATCCTAAATCCTAAAAGTATAGAGGTAAGTAAAGACAAAATTAAAAACCTATAATATTTAAAAAATTGAGAATATCCACATAATCCTAAAACCTAAGCCTTTAAATCTTACAACCTTAATTTCAAAATCTTAAGTTTTAAATTCTAAAACTTGAATCTTAAATATTCATAATTGATTGATTTTTGCTTTAAAATATCAATTTCAGTTCTATTATAAAGTCTATATTTATAAAACATATTGAGGCTCTAGTACCTAAAAGCATTTGAGTTAAAATATTGCAACTTAGATTTTTTTAAATTACAAGAAGATTGGAACAAGGTGTAGAATTTAAGGGTAGCATGAAATTTGTATTTGATAAATAAAATATAATTAGAAAAAAGAATTATAAAATTCTTAATTATAAAAAAGAATTATAATATAATTATAAAAAATATTAACAGTATTAAAAAAATATAATTATAAAAAAGAATTATAAAATTCTTAAAATTTTGATTTTGTTTCATCAAACTTCTCTAGTAAGTCGATCCTTGGCTCTTAAATATTTGTAGTAGCAAGGACTTTAAAATTTTCTTGAAAGTTGATCTATTTATATTTTTTTCTTTTAATTGCATAATTTCTTAGCATATATCTTAAAATATATTATTAACTTCTTACAGGCATAGCAATGGTAATTTTATGGTTGAAATTGCTAACATATGACATTTTTTTTACATAATATTATCTAAAAAAAATAAAAAATTACAAGACTTGAAAATAATTCTTATTTTAATTAAGTATAGCATCAATTTTATTTTATTTTATTTATTTATTATCCAAATCATGGATAAAAATATAAAAAAAAAAAAAAAAAAAACAAATCCAAATCTATTTGAAAGAAAAATAAAATAAAAAAAAATAAAAAAAAAAACGCACATACAGTCATATATATATATATATATATATATATATATATACATACAAGTTTAATAAAAAGAAGATAATTTTCAACCTCTAAAAATAAATAAAAATTTAACTAAAAAATGTAGTCGACTTTCTTTAAGAATGAAATAAATATTTTTTTAAAAATAGTTCAAAAGTAGTTAATTATCAACCTTCAAAAATACAAGAATATTTCTAAAAAACTAAATATTTCTTAATATTTAGTAAAAAATAAAATTATTTAAAAAAAAATATAATAAGTTATAAGTCTTGTTGAATTATCAAAGTTATAAATGAAGATATAACTTTCAAAAGACATTATTTTTAAACTATCATAAACTAAAATCTAGTATTATAGATAAAAATATATTAGTAGTAATATTTACTTGGGAGATGTATCTTACCACATCAAAGTGGTATCCTCAAATTGTTTAAATTGAGCAAATATATTTTTTTGTCAAGTTTTTAAAATATCATATTTGATGATTAAATTGACAAGTTTTTCATTAAGACTTTTAACATAAAAGAAGAATTGATCTTTTAAAAGAAACAAATATTTATATATATATATATATATATATATGTACATACATACTTGTAAGTACTTTAGTGAAGTTTTTAAGTACGATTAGACTTTAATCAACTATTATAACAAATTTACAACAAGCTTATTGCATGTATTACTATAAATATATTGATTAAAAATTATAATCATATACAACAAAGTAAATCTATTGCATAAGTTTGTATTTTAATAATAATTTATATATATATATATATATATATATATATATTGGCATAAATTTTTATGTTTGACTAATTTTATTTAGTAACTACTTTTATTGATGTAAACTAGAATTTATTATTATTAAAATCTAAAGTTGTCATGTTTGAATAGACGTTTTTTTTAAAGATTTTATTACAAATAGAATAAATTAAAGAATCAAAATTATCAATTTAATATAGTCTCATTGAGTTACTAAAAATATTTTATTATTAAAAAAATAGTATGTTGATGGTAATTATAAGAATTGATTAATAGATAAAAATTGATCTTAGTGGTCAAATCAATACAAAATCAAGTCAACCTTCACAAAATAAATAAATTGTGTATTGATTAAATAGATTTCCACAAGTCATTGAGTGAAGAACATTAGAGAAAAATAAGTTTAGACTAAGTCTAAACTGAGAAAAAAGTGAAACATGATCACAGTAAGAATAGTTCTCACTTGGAAACTTGCCCCCCACTGCTGGAGGATTGGTGACTAGATTAGTTTTTTGATGGTTGAGAGGGTGTAAGTGCCAGTGAGAGGAGAGGTAACAACTGCCAGCCAGCAGGTGGTTGTTGTTGTTGTTGTTGTTGTTGTTTTGCAGGTAAAAATGAGAAGGCAAGAGTGGTATTATGAGGAGGTATAAGTGAAAACAAACCACAATTTCATGTCGAAGCCTCCACGCCCACGGAGACATTCATGCCTCATTGTGTGATAGAGCTGGTAGCCCAGGTAGAGGTTGTGAAGCCTGCTCCGGAGTTGGTCTTGTAATGAGATTATCGTAGAGCGTTTCGTAATGTGGACATGTGAAGCGTTGCGGGAATGTCTTGAGGATCACGGCGGTGTTGGAGAAGCTTGATCCCAACGATCAAGAACTGAATTCTGTCAAAACTGAATTGGAAGAATTGGAGACCTTGTTTGAAAACTATCAAGCAGGCGTTAGAGAATCTACCTCCGTAGGCTAATGATCAGTGGAAACAGATGCTAGAAACTTTTTGGCAAACTGATACTTCAGAAGAGAGTAACAAAGCAGGGATGTGTTCGGAAGAAAGTGAAGGAGAAAGCTATCAAAATGCTGAGACGTTTGTCTATGCTACTGACGCGATAGTAGATGAGCACGATGCAGGACCAGACTTTGGGATGGTTTACATAGAGAATCTCATTCTAGAAAAAAGAGGAACTTAAGAGAAAATTTTCTTGTTCACTAACGTTAACTGATGAAATGTGGACTGTGTTTCAGAACAAGTTAGAGCAGGCTGACGCAAAATTCAGGAATTTGGAGGCAGGAAAAAATTATCTCTGAAAGCTAAAGTAGAGGGAATTGATAGCGTAGCTCAATGCTAGAGAACAACAATTGGAGGCTCTCACATCGAAGTTTAGAGCTGAAGTGTTGAGCATTGACAGAGAAGCTGAGAAGGAACGAAATGAAAGTCTGGATGTCATGGAGATGTAATTTTGTTGAAGAGCGCCGTCTTGTTGCAGAAATTCGAGAGCATGAAGAGGGTCGGCAAAATGATCTGGAAGCAATAAAGTAAGAGTTACTTGAATCAAGAGGGTGGGCTCTGCAGAAAGATTAGGATACTTGATGAGCAGAGGAAGGACAAGGAGCAAAATTAATAGGTGTCTTAATGTAGAGAATAAGACTCTCTCACACACACACACACACATATATATATATATATATATATATATATATATATCTAATAAAAAAATTAAAATTATTTTCGCAAATATTTCTATGATTTAGAAAAAATATAGGCACTCTTATTTTAAACCATGATATTTGATTACTTCTATATTCTTAATCCAAAAACAATTTGAATTTTAATTAAGACCTTAAAACTATTTTTTAAAACATTATAGATTTTATTTCTTAAATTTAATAAATAAAAAAAAATAAATCACTTATTTTGAATTTATGCTTCATGTCATATTAATTTATGAATAATATTGATATTTTAGAAGCTGTATTTATTAAATAATTTATAAATCCATATGTTGAAAAAATACTTTATCTATTAATATACATTTATAAGTCAATAAAATTTTGTACTATTATTTTTTTAAGGTATATTTTTAAATTTTAATTTATTAATCAAAATACAAAGAAATAAGTAGATTTTTAAAATATTTAATAGATATGAGATACAAAATACTTTATTCTTGTGTTGTAACTGCATTTAATCATATTTTTATTTTTTTGGATGATAAAATACTTGATTCTTGCTTATACTTCCTATTTAACAAGTCAATACTATATTCTTTCTTCCTAATCTTTTATAGATTTCATCAAATTCTCTTTGTATGCAAAAAAAATATATATATATATATATATATCTTAATCCTCTAATTTGGTATGTATAGATATTCTCATGAATGTTTTAAATCCTTAAATGTTTTGAATCTAAATTATAGTATATCATACATGCTTTTAAACCATGGCCTACATTTTCCAAGTGCTTGTTGAAATTTTAGTCAAATACTCAAAATTATTCTAATTAAGATCCCAAAAATTATTGGTTATTAATAAATTTAATTTAATTTTTAAATTTACAACAATAAGAAATAAGTAAAAATTAAAAATTAAAAAACAAAAAAATACAAGTAATGTCCTTTTCTAGCAACAAAAAACTTATTTCACAACATGACACTGATGTAAAATATAAATAAAAAAATTAAAATCAAATCAAATCAAAAATTAAATTTAATAATATAAATTATATTGGTATCTTAAAAAATATTAATACAAAAACCCTAAAAATAGCACATTTAATAATGTATATCATCTCTCATATTTTATACCTCAGTTTATAAAAAAACAAAAACAAAAAACTACCAAATAACTGATAGTTGGAGATAATAGAGCTTTTTTTGTAATGAAAATGTATTATAAAAAAGTTACCAAATGTTATTACAATCTTTAAAAGTTTTACAATATATTTTTTGTTGAAAATTAAGTTTTTATAATAATTTAAACCTTCTCAACAATTTAAATTGATGAATGAACACACATATATAAATAAATTTTATAAAATAAATTTTATTTTATTTTAAAATGAATTCATTTTTTAGAAAATGTTGTTCAAAAAATCCAAATTTGTACACAATATGCATGGAAGATGTGTTAAACATGGGGTTGGGACAGAGGGGTTGGGACGGGGAACGGAGGCTGGTTAGGACAGGGAACGGGGGTGGGAACGTGTGCAGTGGGGTACTGGAACACAGAGTGGTGGACACGGCCCTCCTTCCCCACATTTCTGATTTTACGCCTCAACCAATCACTGATTCGTGGACATACACTATTTTTCATATCTAGATAATAAAAATAAAAATAACATAAAAATATGAAAATGAAAAAATTGTGAGAAAAGAAGTTATTGCTGTGGCTAGAAAGAAAGTAATAACTAATAATTTATACGAATTAATTAAAGAAACACATTGCAACTGTGCCAAAGACTATCTAACTTAAGCTATAATTGGAGTTAAAAACAATAGGAGAAAATCGCCAAACAAAAAAATTCTCCTAACAATGGCAAAAAGAAAAAAGTACTTAAGACAGTTGAAAATAGGAATAAAAAAATATTGATATATAAACTATTAATTCTTTTTAATTTATTATAGAATTAGAGATCGAATCAGACATTGTAAGGAATTGACGTGTAGTTGAAGGATAACAAACAAATAAGGACCCCAAAATTACAGAATAAAAAATTAGGAGTAGATAGTGGAATACATATATAAATACATATGAAGTAAAAAAATTGAAACATGCTTTAGAGAAGAAAATAAAACGTTGATTAAAAAATCTAAATAAGTTTTTATTACTATGTTAAGTTAAAAAAAATAAAAGATTATGATTTATCCAAGTGATATATATATATATATATATATATATAATTCAAATAAGATTGATCAAAAGAAGGTTTATAAAATACTAGTATTATTTATCAATTATGGCCAAGTTTACTAAATAAACGCGAATCCATCCTTCTATTTGTCATGCACCTCCAAATGTATCTACCCTTGATGACAAGCATTAAATATCCCATTATCATGAGTGACTAAGAATTAAGTCACATGCATGAGCAAAGCATTACACGTCAGCAACCAATTGGTTGCTTGCTTCACTAGTGAGTTCGTGAGATTGGCGGTGGGAGGGGAATGAATGGGTAGGGTAGCGGTAATAGGGGACAACGGTGATAGGGGACGGGTGGGGTGGTGGGAGTGCGGCGGAGATTCTTTTGCGGCGGAGATTCTTTTGCGGCGGAGGGAGTGATGCGGAGGCGATGGGGTGGATTCGGCACCTCCCTCTCTCTCTCTCTCACCCACTAACTTGGGCGCAATGGGTTCTCGAATCTTGTGGGTATCATACTATTTTTATCACTGTGCTCCATGAATCTGCAGCAGCATGGCTCTTCTCTCAGCGTTCACTGCTGGACCGGGACATGCCCCTGATCTGAACACACACCCACCCCCCCCCCCCTCTTCCGGGCACGTCAAGCATTAGCATCTTCACCGTAGATCTGATCGCTGGAATCGTTTCCGCACGTAGGACGGCGCTGTTTTCAATACCCTAGGAGGCCGCTTTTCCAAGAAAAGCCACTCTTTATTATTGCATGAATTCAGCGTGATCGCTATCACCTAGGTGCTGGAAGGAAGAGAAGGGACACCATTGGCCAGAGCGACCAGAAGCCTGACACCCCCTACTGTGCAGAAATTCAGGATTTCGTAACGGACTTCAACATTAACACACTGAGTTTCACATGTTCGGGAACATTACAATCAAATAGAGATTCACACGTAAATAGTTTCAAGCGAACGATTTAAAAGGAGCACATAGGTTAGATGTAGGCACTGCCGTTCGCCATTATAACAAAAATATAAAAACACAAAAAACAATATCGGTTCGTGAGAATTACATAAAAATCAAACGAAAACTAAAAACCATTAATTTTGTGCACATAGAGAAAATGAGACTCGGGCGTACATATGGATAAATAAAGAAGGAAAAAAGGTATTCCTTTAAAATAGTAAGAATATACAACCTTGAGGATCAAGATGATAAGATTCCATAATAGAACAAGGGTGGCATAAATTGGCTTGACCTGTACGGGACATCCACTTCTATGAAACAGGTGATACGTGAAGCAGAGTGCCACAAGAGCATGAAATGATACTGTACACTGCAATTAGAGGATAAAAATTAGGGCATTAATTAGCCAGAAAACTAGGACCACCCTATCTATTTGTCCGAGATTCTTCTTCGTCTTCTTCTTCTTCGTCTGCTGTACAAATGATGGAACAAATGACGTTACCAAAAAAAGGTTACCCGATGAAATCCTTACGTGCAAAATCCCTTTGGGACGAGGCTCCAACCTTACGACTGGATATTAGCCTCTAGGCTTTACATAGTAGAGAATCCTTTGATTATGATACAAGAGCAAGCAGATGAGAAAAGGTGGGTTCTCTTTACAGTCCCTTCGACAGCAGGGGTTGGCGTACCACTCCATGATATGTAGATATATATATATATATATATATATATATATATATATCGTCGTCATATGTCGTTTTCTTCATCCTTTTGCCACCACCCACCTGATTTCCAAGCTTGATGAGATCGGCGAAGAGCTTAAATTGTAGAAGCCATGGCAGCATTGCGCTGTTCTAAGACCTCGGACGCTTCGCCGCTTGCATAAACGCTGAAATGACCTGTGTCTCGTCCAATTCCTGCTCCGAAAAGAACAAGACAGCTCACCACAATTTAGACACTACGTATCAATACACTTTCAAACCCTACTCAATGGAGATTGAATATGTACAGCCCATTTCTTGTACAAAGGAAACTGCAACGAGAGGAAGTTCGACTGAAATCGCCGCATTGATTGCCTCGCAGTACCGGAGCAAATTTTACAGAGGTGCATGTAACTGCAGAAGAGAAACTCTCACCTGTGACATGAAGTGCCGGCCAACAGCATGAAGGAGCTGCTCCTTGGTTGAGTTTGGACCTACTTCCACCTGGGAGACAGAGTATAGATGGCAATCAATACCCTATAAACCGAATATGCACCAAGATGAGGACTTAAGTTCATTAAAATATGACGATAGTGTGTCAAGCGAATAATAAAGAAAGAGCTTTTACAGCTGATTCTTCATCATATTGATAGGTACTTGTAAGATCAGCAACTAGCGGCTATCACAGCGTCCCTAAGTGTCCACTCACCTCCTCTGTACAAGAAATCGACTAAGTTTAAATGCATGTCTACCAACACTAGTAGTAGATCTTTCTAATCAAACCAACGCCTGGCTACCAGACCGAAAGCACTATTATCCAGAGCGATGAAGTTTACCAGTTTAAAATGTCTGCGGTACCTCTTTAGTGCAGCAACTTCCAGCTTGCTAAGATCCACTGACTACAACCACAAGAAGCATGCAGCAAATCATCAGCATAAGAAGAGTTAACACCCGTAGCTTGCACTTAGCAACTGGAAAGATCTCAACCTGCCAATCATAGCCATAGATACTCGAGCTTTCGTACCGGTAGAACTGCAGATATTGGACTCGACCCCTCATCCACCTCGTCCCTCCTCTCAAACATCCGGCTGAAATTGGCATGTTCAGTTGCCATAGCGTCTTCATCTGTTATACTTGCATTGCGTGCATTTGTCACGGATGGCTTCCGCGGCTGAACCCTGGGCTTGAATGCATTCCTAGGAATATTATCTTCTGCACAACAATACAAACTAAAATTCAGTTAATTGAATGTGTGCAGTAATGCTTTTTGTCAGACCCTACGTCGAAGTGCTATTTCCGCGAATGCCCCGCTTGTCCCGACAATTGTAGAGAACAAAGACTTACTAGAACTAATGAGCCACCAAAAACTTAACAAGACTCCAATTGATGACAAATGAAAACACTGATAACTAACACAGAAGAAGAAGAAGAAGAAAAAGAAGGAAAAAAGAAAAGAAAAGATAAAAAAAAAAAAAAGGACTATTGGTGCGCAGCTCAACATAACAAAGGAGAACCCTGTTTCGGTGGACATAGATTCCCAAATCACACACCTAAACTTGTTCCACTAGAAAATGGATTGTCTTCGTTCTCATCATGTTCTTCGTGACCAGAAGGGGCTTCAATTACACTCAACGCATTGCGCTGCAGCTTGACTTCATCACCATTCGTGAGAACCTGAGAATCAGGAAAGAGTGACTTAGTACTCACTACGACTCGCCACCACTTAAAGTCAATCTTGTAATAGGGAGCCAAAGACCAATCTGAGATTCGTTATCCTATAAACATGTAAAGATTAATTGTTAGAGGTGTTGAGATAATCGCAAGTGCGGAGGCCAATCAATGCTTTCCGCTGAGCTGCTATAAAAATGGTAGAAGGTATGAAATAAGCGAGTTTCATGATCTAGCTGTATGCAAAGATAGATTGGTTCTCAAGAAAAGAGTGCTCCACCAGCCAGTGCCATCCTCCGAGACCAACAGCCTTCGTAACAACGCCATGGAGTCCCACAAGAACGGACTTGGTGCGATTATTGCCCGTGACCAGGACCTTGGTATGTCTGGGTAGAACGGCAAGCCCCTCTTCACCACTATCCTCGCCGGAACGGTAGTGCACGGCCGGCGGGCCCTCTTCGGTATCGAGCATTTCCACTTCAAAGGAACAAACAAGAATTGTAAACCTGCTCGAATGGTTTCGCTCTTACTCTTCCAGACCACAGAGTTCGTATTTATTTTTTTCAAATTTTTGTCCTGTTTCAAACCTTGTACCTCTCACTCACTCAGACTTAGTTACTCGGCACCCTCAAGCCACCTTTGGCAAGGAAGTACACCCCGGTCATGATCTTAGTGTGCTCAATGCTATCTCACGTTAATCGTCCAAACAATTTAGGGTCGGGTCACGGCCATGAATTTCAAACCCAGAGAAGGGTATCAAGATCAAATCTGCATTTCCCTACGTGTTGAGTAATGGAGTCAAAGTTAAAAACTTAAGACGGCTGGGTATGTTCAGATCAAAGAAACCCCTCTGGCATTTACCAACCGAGAAGCTCGTCCCACCGCGTCACGGAACGCTCGAACACGCAGGATCGTTTCCTGCCACCAGCGTCACGGCCAGTAATTCACCCTCTTTCATTCTGATTGAAGTTACGTTGTATACACTCGCCTCACCCGAGTTCTCGATATCTGACTGATCAGATCGGCCAACAAACGAAAACAGCCAACAATTACGGCAAAGAGGAAGAAACTAACAGATGACGGACTTGAAAGGGAAGGATTGTCACAGTGCTCAAGCGCAAACCACGCATTGGCAAATTGCAAAGCCGGTATGACAAGCAAAATGTCGGAGAAAGAAATTAAGAGGATCAATGTCAGACCCATTGAAAGGAAGTCTCTAACGGCCAATTTTTTACTACTGCTTACCCGGAGAGTGTTCTGCATCAATGGGACTGATGATCTCTTTGATAGCTTCGACTAATTCGCCTTGATTCCACTACAGAGACTTGGATAGTTGCCTTCTAAGAAGGCACACCTCTTCTTTTCCCTCACACGCCCAAGGCGTTGTCACGCCGGTCAAATCTAAATGAAACCGATGCCCGAGACCTTTAATTTGGCAGGATAGGAGAGTAACAAGGGTCCTTCCTTTTCGCAGACATCGCATGCCAATGACATGCGCCGAGGAAACCTCATTAACACAGTCCTCCCCACATTTCAGATCCACTCGCGAATTATATATAACCCACTCCGGCCTGGAAACATCCGCTTCGTACAGGCACCCCTCTAACCCTCCACTCGATCCAACAAACGATCGTTCAAAGGAAACACTACAGAAGGATGAAAAACGAAACAAAAAACAAAAACAATTGGCTCGCTAACTGTTGCAATACACCCAAACACCCGCACTCATCTACTACGCTGTAACCGAGGACATACTGGATCAAGCTCTAAAAATCTTCAAACAACGCCACCTCGAAACTAAGAATCAAATCGTCAATTCAGCAATAAAGCGTGTCAAGCGAAGGATGGGAGGGGGGATGCAAGCTGTGAAGGGAAGGAAGGAAGGAAGGAAGGAAGGAAGGAAGGCTTCAATCGAGCCCTACTAGATCTGTGCAGTGCTGTGCAGTGCTGTGTGCTGACGAGAGGACCCTGTGTGTGTGTGTTGACCACCCCATTGACGAACAGAATCTGCGGAGGAGGATACAAGCGCAAGCTTTGTGGAGATAGCTCAGTAAGCCCGGGGGCGGGGACAATTATAAATAATAGTAATAATAATAAAGAAAGAAGAGAAATAGCAAGGAAGCAAGAAAGCAAGCGAGGACACACACACTCGTTAACTTAGTGCAGGCAGGCAGGCAGGGGTGAGAAACCAGGAGACACCCGCAGCAGCGGCGTGGGTGGGTGCGGGATGGATGGATGTGGAACGGATAGATGTATTTATGAGAGATGGATGGGTGGATGAGGGTGACGAAGAGGGAGGGAGGAAGGCGGACGGACGACGAGGGTCCAGTGGTCCCCCTGGTCGAGGCGAGGGGATGGATGGATGGATGCATGCATGCTACAGCAGTCGCTGCTCCTCCAACTACGACTCCTCCCTCCCTCCCTCCCTCCCTCCCTCCACCTCCCCCTCCCCCGCCCACCTGGTGGTGGTGGTGGTGGGTGGTGTGGTGCCAGCGGTTCCCCATTCCATGCATCATATTGCCTGCTATTCGCACTCCCACTCCCACTACTTCCTCCCCACTCTCTCCCTCTCTCTCCCCTTCACACACTCAGACACCCACACACAGACAGGCAGAGGAGGGGCAGAAGGATAGTGGGAAGACGAGCAGGAGGAGGAGGAGGAGGAGGACGAGGAGGAGGACGAGGAGAAAGGCATCATCAACGTCACCTATCCCACAACACCCCACCCTCCAATGCTGGCTGCAATAATCCTGCATTCTCTCTCTCTCTCTCTCTCTCTCTCTCTCCCACTCTCATGGCTTCCGCTAGAATTCATGGGCACCGCTGTTTGGCATTCTCCTCCCATTCCTCCCCTCCCCTCCCCTCCCCTCATTCATTCCTTCATTCTTTGTCCTCATTTCTACTTAGTTTCATACTGTAGTCCTTCCATCTATCCAATTTCCTTTGTTGTTTTTTTATCATATTACAGGCATATCTTTTAAAATTTCAGAAAAAAAATTGTAGTAAACCATTTATGCAGACATGGTTTTTTTAGGGGAAATCTGTGAAATTATTGCATTGCAACTTCTTTTCACATTAAATCGGATTGTTACTCCACATCTAAGTATTTAATGAGTAAGTAAATATATAAATGAGTTATACAAAACAAATATGAAATAAATTTGAGGTTTATTTTACTATCTGTTATTACATACAATGATATTATTTGGGTAGCCAATAGTTACTACTGTTGCATTATATTTTCAATGATGCAAACAGATGGTGTTTTTAAAATTGTAGTAATTGTAAAAGATGTAATTATTTTGTGATTTATTCAGTGTTAATGGATTTGTTTCAGCAAACAAAATAACATAAACCCTGCATGTTTTCAAATTCTCTTGAGACACTTATTAGACCATTTTTTTTTTTAAATTGGTATTTAATAAATATAGGGAATTGCTAGGTGGACACCCTCCTCTGCCACATTAATTTAATGGATAAATAATATGAATGATCATTATTTGAAATTATGATTGAAGACTTTTGTAACAAGTTTGGTACTTGAAGCCCAATATAAACAAAATCAACTCTATCTTATTTTTAGAAAATTTAAAAATAAATTTTTTAGAGAACTTCAACTCCATTACAAGTTTATGGGTGTCAACAGAATTGATTTTGTTTGTTTTCAAATTCAGGTAACAAACAGAGTACAACAATCTTCAGACACAATTTCAAATGATGATCATTCAATTTAGTTGTTCATTAAATTGATGTATGGCAAGGGGGACATCTATGCACTAAAACAGGGGTGTCTACCTACAGGTTCCTTAAATCTATATCAAAATTATTGTTGCTTTGCAAATCATACTGTATAAATGTCCAAATAAATGAGTTGCAAGGAAATTATGAAATATTCAACCATGACAACTTGTAATATGTCAAGTTTTTAATAGGAAATCTCCTTTTTTTTATTTATATAAAATACAGAAATATGTGTGTATGCATATCTCACATAACTTTTCCAAAGGTTATAGTTCACTTAATCAAATATACCTTGTTAAGAAAACAGAAGACATATTTATTATTTAAAAATTTAATCCCTCAAATTCGTTAAACACTTTTTTCTACTTGTATTCTTACTTGGCTCTTGTTGTAGAATTATTTGATAACTTGAACCCTAAACCCCAAACCTGGTCACTCTTCTAAATAACTTCAACATTTATAATAATCACAAACTTAGACATATTATTTTAAAACGAATTGATTACAATAATCTTAGTATATGTTATGTGTTTTCTAAAACAAAACTGTAATTTATAGCTTAAAATCACAAATGATAATAATAATATATATATATATATATATATATATATATTTTTTAAAACACACTTGTGTACATATATAATTTAGGAGATCTATTAAGTTTTTGGAGGCATGAGAAAAAGTGTGAAAAAGAATTAAACGAATAAATAAAATAGAAAGATATAAGTACATTAGAATGGATTATTTATCTATTTTATTCAAAATGTTTTACAAGGAATTGAGAAGGGGTAACAATTGTGGCTTTATTTTTTAGTTTATTTTATTTTATATTACTTTTTTTTGACATTAGATAAGTTAACCTTGAACAAATTTCTGGCATAGTTGCAATATTATAATTGGGATTTGAACCACCAACCTATGTAGGATTATGGGGTTCAACTTTGCCATCCATCTAGTAGTTTTTTAGGGCCATTTTGGACCCAACATTCGTGACTTTCAAAATTGTATAAATTCTACAAAAATACGTGGTATTTTTAGATATGATTAAAGATAAGACAATGATAATTTTGCATAATGGGTTTGGAGAACTGTTCAAGTCAAGTCTTTACAATGAAGAAACGGACAGAGATTATAAGCCCCCGTTCTCACGACGTTCACACTTGGGGAACATCTCCGGCTGGGCGAAGCCGAATCTTCAACAGGTTTGTTCTTCTGCAAAGGATGACCGACCGGTTATTATTAACTCATCCACGAAAGTTCATGTATTCATCCATCCGCGCATCCATCAATAGACGGATGACTCCCAGTGCTCCACTGCGCCACGTCCCCACCCATACCTCCATCCACGTGGGTTGTCCAAGTATCTCGCTGCTTAGTTGGCAACTTTCAGCTGCCACGTAGGATGAGAGGATGAGCCCTCAAGATAATGCAATTCTATTTTTGTCTGTTCAAGTACAATTTCAATTGTAATGGTCATGCGTGTGTTCGATTATCTTATTTAAAAATTTGGTTCACTCGGCCTTTCACATTTTTCATATTACGAAGGAATACTTTAAAAGCCAGTATTTCATTAAGTTACATATTATTTTGTCAAATCATAAACTTGTAATACAGACCATGTAAGGCTTGAAACCAGAATGTAACACCCTCATAAGTTTGTTTAAACTTGCATTAAAAAAAAATTAAAAAATAGTATATGTGATCCAAAATTTTAATCATACATGCTTAAAATTACTAAAGTGAAAAAATATATACTTTTTATAGGTTTCCATGTAAGATTGCATAAATTAAGATGGAATTATTTGTACAAGAATTAATTAAAGTAATGAGTAAACTTCCAATACTGTTTCAGATAATTCTTTGAAAATCTTCAATCACAATTATAAAAACATAAAACATGAAATTTTCTTATTATACAAGATATAGGTTATTCACATGTAGTGATTTGCTAATTCAAAATCTGAACAATTGACCAACATTTTAGTTATCTTGTCCCCAGAGAGCATATTTTAATTAATTAGATCCAATTGAATTATTAACTGAAATAATCTTAGTTGGATCCAAATAATATCAATTACAAACGGGTTCTTTTTTTCTTTTTCGATTTTCTTTTTCTCATTATCAACAAAACAAAGTCTATGTAAAGTAATTGTTTCCACAATTACTTTATCTTCATAAGGCACTTTGATTTATTATATATGGGAGAGAAGGAATGTAATGACAAGGTTCTTTTTAAAACAAGGTTTTTTCTTTAATTCAAAATTAGGGTGAAACATATACAATTACAAATATATTTTTACAAAATATCTTAGTCATAAACTCTTAACAAAAGGCATTTGGCCTATTCTTATCAGGATCGGCACAATTCATTCTTTCATTCCTGTATATATATATATATATATATATATATGTGTGTGTGTGTGTGTGTTGGTGTATATACATACTTATCCACCAACTCAATTTTTGAAAATAATTGGGAAGTATAAAACATTATTTTAAATCACTTTCAAGTAACCTATATTTTAACTTATTTTTTAACTTATAACTTATAACTTATAACTTATTTTTTAACAACTTATTTTAACTTAACTTATTTTAACTTATATTTTAATTGCTTGGATCCTTGGAAACTTGTTTTTAGATAATGGGACATTGGTAGATTAGTCTCTTATTCCAGGAGCCTCAAAGGTATTATGAATTAATTCAATATTATCAATAAATGAATATAAAACTTCAAAAAGAAAGAAGGAGAGAAAGCAACTTTTTCAGTACTCATAATTTGAAAAAAATGTTATAATCTTAATATGTCTTACAAGAAAAGTTTGATTATCTATGTAAAGTACACATGTTATTCCTCACAAACATAAGATTGAAAAACATCTTCCTCCTAAGTTACCATCTTCTTTTCCAACTCTTGATGATTCCTTAAACAAGGAAATTAACGAAAAAACAAAACAAAGAGCAACAGCAAGAAGAAAAAGAACCTCATTTTGTTTTTTGAATAAATAAAATAAGACTTTAACAACTCATGCATCCTATATCCATGCAACATGGATTCAAGTATGAGAATGAATGAAAAAGGAAAGGAGGCCTTAAAATGGGTATGGATATGTCACAATATATATATATATATATATATATATATATGTATGTGTGTGTGTGTGTGTGTGTGTGTGTGTAGTGTTTTTTTAGTCGTACTTTCCAATGAAAAGATGCCATGTCAATAGGTAGGTCACGTATCAAATGTCATCATTAGGATCCATTTTGAAACGGGAAAAAATAAATAATAAAAATAAGGGAAAATAAGAGGAAGTTCCTTTAAGAACATTCTTCCTTTTTTTGAGAGAATTCATCCAACTTCCAAATCTTATTCATTCGTTAAACCATTCATGCACATTTCACACATTCATTCATTCATCCATAGGATGAATGTTCCTTGATTGGTTCCCTTTCAAGTGGCAACTTTGGGGTCGCATGTTGAAATGAAATGCCGTTGCCACGTCACCCGAAGGGCGACAGACGCTCCCCTTCCCTGGCATCTCAGATATTTCATCATGGGAACGTAGATCGGGGAACAGGGAACGTTTCCGTTTCAAAGCCCAAATAGAGGGAATGCACTCGAGCATTCCACATGACAGCTGGCATCATCCCCGGAAGGGCACGAGCAGTGCCTGCGAGGTATTGAGTTGTACGAGATCATTCATCTAATTCCAACGAGAGAAACTTATCAACATTCATTCATCTTCAGCCATTCGTGGGTTTGTTTCTTTGTGGCGGCCTGCGACATTTCCAACCACGAGGAGACAATACCATGCGGAATTGGTCACCCGTGGAAACGAGGGGTCAAGTGGATTCCGACCTGCATTCGATGGCCCGATCGACGGTTACGAGCACTTCTCTGTATGCCGGGGAGAGGGGGGGGGGGGGGGGGATATTTGTGGCACCCAATGAAAGGGAAGGTGGGAAGGTGGGGGAGAGTGGGTTGGGAATATGCAGCCTATGTCCTGTAACAGTTGTGGTAGGAGCAGGCAGCAGGACCATTGCGAGGTGAAAAAGTAAAAGTAAGGAAGCTGTCTGTGTTCCAGTACCGAAGTACTGAACGAGAGGGGGGGGACTACATCCTCGTTCTTATTATTAGTATTCCTATTATTATTATTATTATTATTCAGGCAGCCCCTCCTCTTTCCTTTCCTTTTGTGTATTGTATTGTGGTGGTGGTGGCTGTGGTTTTGAGATTTGTGTTCACTCAATTCTGTGATAGATAAATAAATGAATAACTAAATTCATAAAGTTCATTAAATATGTACATGTTTATTTATTAACGTAATTTTAATTAGAAAGATGACTTGAATGTTGTTTATAATGTATGGCAATTAAAATCACAACCACTGCATTGAATAAATTCATGCTGGAAAAGAAAAGAAAATTTAGAATTTCATTTATGTATTTATTTGTTTATCAATATTTATTATAGAAACGCTTATCCCACTCTTTACTCCTTTTCTGTTTAGTAAAATCATTTCTGTGTCCCCTTTTATACAATTATATTATCAAATAATGTGTATGTATAATTTCATCTAATAGCTAGATTACTGAGGCTCACAGTTTATACTAAAACTTTACATTCTTTGATTAGAGTATCAGTAAACAAAGTTCTTTTAATTTTCTATGTTATCCCAGTCATTTAGTTGAAATGGAAAACTCTTTTTTTTCTTTTAATTAAAAAAAACTAATTCAAGTTATATATATATATATATATATATATAACTTATATGAAAATGAATAATGATTTTTGGATTCATTTCTCCATTCTTAGATCTACAATCAATAAAAACCAACCACATTCGTAGTGATTACTATATTCTTCACCAAAGGTGGGTCTATTTAGTAAAAGCATGGGTCTATTTAACATCCGTGATATATATATATATATATATATATATATAAGGTATTCTTAAATTTTTTATATTATTTGATTTTATTTAAATATAACTTTGGATCTTAAATAAATTATATTAACAAATGTTTAAAACTAAATAGACTAGTGAACAAAGTCATTGTATCAAATTCATCAAAACATGTCAAAGTCATCCTTACTGTTACAACTTTTTAATTTTTAATTTTTAATCTGTTGTGTTCAATTTGTTGTGTAAAAAATCTAAAACTGAACAATTCGAAAAAATAAATAAATGAATGTTCGTACATGTGTGTGCTCCGTCATCAAAACTGAGTTTTGAATGAACCCAGAGTGTGATGCAAGAGTCAAAATCTCACTCTCACTGCGGATGAAAACGCCGAATCGGAGTGGATGCGTAAGAGATGGAGAGTCTCTGTGTGTGCGAAAATGTGTTGTTTTGGCTTCTAGTCCTGCTGACGATTAGAATTGTGTGGCACAGGCTCAGGTAAGCGGACCCCACCTCAGTTGAAGCAGATTCCGTATTCTTTTACAACTTCCTTGAGGCTCACATATCCTCTTGCCATCTGTGATCAGAATTACTAATTTAATTGCTCAAACTACTGCTCTTCCTTGCCGATTATTCACGGTCCTCCACTTTTAAAAAAAAAAGATAAAAGAAAACAAAGGAAAAAAAAAGGGCACCTCAGTCTGATATTTATATATTTTGTTTGTATGAAAGAACAGTCCGCTGAGAACAGTGCCTAAGAAGGCTTCTAACACGACAACGTCCAGTGTCAGCCGGGTTTTGATTTCCTCTCTCCACTCTAGAACAGTTCGAGCAGGTGATGTTGTTGCTTATCACTGTTCATGCAAATGAGCAGTCTTAGAAATGACAAGCAGGCGATGTTTTATGAGCATCGTGTGGCGTTGCGACTGTGTCTGTTTTACGTGGTTATTTTGAGGAGTTACGACGTCATAATGCTTTCTTCTTTCCTGAGAGACTCCTCGTGTGAGGGTCCTCAAGACTGATGTGCGAAAAGTTCAGCGAGGAACAGAAATTTTAGGGAATGGCAGATTCTGCTTTTGAAATCTAGGAGTCTCGTCCATTGAAACGCACACTTGTTGCATGTCGCTCTTTTTTTTTTTTTTTTTTATTTTTTAACCTAGGAGAGCACATGGTTTATAATGCTTTTGGCGTGAAGTTTAGCCTTTTTCCATACGAATTGGAAGTGAAGCTCAATCGGTAGGAGAAAATATCAGCTAGATTCGAATGCATGTCGCTCAGCGTAATTTAGGATACAATTTTGAGCCGCACACTGGTCTACGGTGCTGCCCCAGTGTCTGTCAGTTGTGAGATTGACCGGACCCTGCAATTTTTAACGTGACGTGTGTGTCTGTGGGTTTCTTCCAGATGGTGAGGAAATGGTATTAAACTCACGTCACAATTAAGTATTGAAGTCATTTCTTTGGTGCGACACTGAGGAGTGTGCTCACGCTCTCGAGCACATCCTTGAGTTGAGCAAATCGATATACTCAACGTTTCAACATAATAGTTAAGTTCTCCACGAGATCTCATCTCTTGGGACTCGCAAAATTCGTGATGGTTGGCGATGGAAATGTCTTGAACACATGTTCAATGGTGGAGACAGTAACTCTGGAGACCGAACTGAAGACTTGGTGAGGATGAGCACATGACAGCGGTCTCTAACATGCCCGCTCTGCCAGCCTTAGCGAGGTCGCTCGGTCGCTGGCAAGATGGCTCTCTCTATCTCTCCTTCCCCCACCCTCCCCTTCAGTGCCGAAGAAAGTTTTGCATGGTCTTTTAGTTTCAAATCGACAGAAAGCTCAAGCGGCGAAAACCGCGATTTATGCACAAAATGGCATCTTAGAACCAGTATGCAAGGTGAGGGGATACAGCTAGCCAAGAATCGATGTTTTTTTTCAATCATTAGTCTACACTGGACACGTTGAGAACACCGATGTATCCCGACTTGCAGAGTCGTTTTGGTAACTGTGAATGGAATACTGTGATTGTTGAAATTGAAGCTGAAGTGGTTCCTGCCGCGACTCTAGTCATATCGATCTACTTGTCACTGATGCATTGATACACCGAGAGGCGCAACTAATTAAAACTCACCCGTTCCAGAGTACAGCAAGCACCACTTTCATCAGAGGGAAGAATTTGCCGCAGTGGGAGATGAACAGAAGCTGTTTCCAGAATCGAAGAACAGTGCAATGGAAACAGTTGTAAAACACAACAAATTCCATGGAGTAAAGGTGCTAGCAACTGACAGGCGCATTGTGCCGACTGGGTTCAGTCATTAAGGGAGAATGTGCCATGCAAAAAGATTCTGAAAACGTGGTTGTGAGAGCACCGAAAAGCTGCAGAACAGATCGAGACAGCTATGAGAAAATGTCACCATGGAGGTTCTGAATGCCTGCTCTGCATCAGTAAGATCCGGTTATCTATGTCGTCTATTACTCACAGGGAAACTAAACTACTGCAACGTGGTCACTGAATTGTTGACTGTGAATGGGCAGGCTTTACAAACTCTTCTGGACCTGATTAATGTGAGACTGGCAACTTCTGAGCCCTATCGCTTAAGCCACCGAGTTGCCCCAAACGTGACCAAGCTTAGAGTGCAGAATTGAACAGACTGCGATGCTCATTATTCATCACTGTTCTCAGTGAAGTGGAAGAAAATGAATTCATCTTTGTTGGATCCAACATGGTAAAAGAAATTAACAAGATTAAGGGGGTGTTTACATCCAAAAGTCCACTTTGAAATTTCATTGTCCAAAAGATTTACAAAGTTTGTATTTTTTGGAAGACTAGGCCTTCTTAAGGTGATATATAGTGAGATCAACACAATATATATCAAAAATTGTTTATGTGGTTTAGACATAAAAGATCACATTATTTGTTGTTATGAAAGATTTAGATTTTGTAAATTTGTAATTTTTAGACATGTGTACAAAGAAGGTGTTTAGGGGAAAATATTGCATTTTGTGTGACACTTTTCAACTTTTTAAAAATAAAAACTAGGTCTAATTTTAAGCAATAAAAAAAAAATTGGTAATGTTATTATGTTGACTTAGAATATGAAATAGGTTGCAAGGTATATAAAAATTATCTAGAGTTGGAAAACATTTTAAAATAATAATTGTGAATGAATATTCAAATTAATAAATATATAATCTTAGACAAGTTTATTAATTTAAAAAAATAAAGCAATGTATAGAATTTTAGCAAAAAAATTAAAATATGATTCACATAATTCGTTCTAATTGACATTGTTGTAAAATAACATACATACATACATATATCAATAGTATGTGGTAGATAAATAATAATATATAATTTAGATTTAAGAAATTTATAAGTGATTAATAATTAATTAATTAGTAGTGATTTAAAAAGAAGATATAAATAATTAGTAGAATACAAATTAATTGTTGAGATATTGTATAGAATTTGAGTCTTTGATTTGTAAAGAATTTTAAAGAATGTATAAAAATTGAATGATAATAATAATATGATTTCAATAAAAGAAATCAAGAGAAACAGAACTTAATTAGAAGGGGCTATAAAACTTAGAAAATCATATCTAATTCGTTGTAGAAGTACAAATCTTTGATAAACATATAAATTGTAATTTGGTATTTTATTTTTTTTAGAAAATTCAAAATACATTTAGATGTGGCCATTAATTGCAAATCTAAATATTTAAAATAATAAAAATAAAATGGTTAAAATAGAAACTTAAAATATTATACAAACAAATTCAATAATTTTAAATTTTAAATTTATAGTATTAATTTTAAAAAAAAATTAAATTTACTTACTTTCATTATACAATTGATATAAACTGGTTTAATTTTAACATCTTTTTATTTTAAAAATATATTATCTTTTTTTCTTTATTTCTTTTTTTTACAATACAATCTTAAACATACAAACTTAAACATACATTATAATAAATAATTTATATTCTATTTTGGTCTACAATCTTCAAGCTAATATATATATATATATATATATATATATATAGATTTTTCTTATTATTTTGGTAATTATTTGTGCAGTTTTAAATATTCTTCTTGTATAAATACTATGATTTGTTGAATCTACATATTGCTACTACAATTCTTTTTTATGATTTCAAACATGTACTTATATCTATTATATATATATATATATATATATATATATACTACAAAAAAAATCTTAAACTACTTCAAAAGTTCTATTATTTCTTAAGGAGAAAAAGTAAAAACATTAAGGATGTAAATTGATTAATAAAATAAATAATAAAAAAGTATACACAAGAAAACAAGGAATGATAATACATCCATAAAAGAGATAATGTAGACTAATAGGATCTAAGAAAAAGAAACTAGTGGTTCATAACTTCATTCTAGCTATTGGAAATTCGCCAATTTTTTGTCACATTCAACATCATTTTGAGACTAAATCGACAGAGAAGATAAGTTAGATTCCAAGAGCTTTATCAATTTTTTAAAAATACATAATAATAATAATAATAATAATAATACAATCATTTTAAAGACAAAAATACAAATAAAAATTTTAAATTAAATAATCTTAATTTTATGAATCATGCAATAAAAAAACATATATCTTAATTATATGTTGTCTTAAGAAATTTCTTAAGAATTTTCTATATATTTTAAAAAATAAGAAGACATTGTTTTTAAGAAGTAAAAGACTTTGAAGCTAAAAACTTAGTTGCAATCAAAAGTGAAATAGATGTCTTCTTATTTTTATATTTAAAATTTTTCTTTACTAAAATCAAATATTATCTTTATTTTTTATTTTTCTTCTTGTAACAACACATATTTTTTTATATTCGAGTTGTAACTTTTTATTTTATTTTATCTAAAAACTAAAAAATAATAATTATAAAACAATCTTTGAGGCTTATTTTATTCTACTACTGATTTTGTTGTATTACTTATTTCGAGGTTTTATTGTTGCATCAATAGATTTTTTTTCATTTTTTTGTTAAATCTTTGTAAATATGTTTTTAGAATTAAGCTTCATCATTAAAGAACTGAATACGTATTGTAATTTTTAGACCAAATAACTTAGATTTAGTAAATATATTAGACAATATGCTCATTAGAACTTATTTAAAGAAATTTTTGACTCTTTATTTAAGATAGAAATAAGTGTCTATTATGTAAGTAGTCTTTAGTATTAATATATATATATATATATATATATATAAATATAAAATAACAACAATATACTATCTTTAGTACACTTTCTTAAATTTTTGTATAAAACTACTTTTTAAAGATATATCTACCACAAAATATAGAAGAAAAAAACATTTATGTTGGGTAGAAAAGAAATGTATTCTATCTTAGTTTTTTTTGTTCTAATATATCAAATATTTTTTTTAATTATAAAGCAAATCAAATGATGAGTCTCCATTTTAACAAATTTTAAAGTTTAAAAATTGTGGCTCCTTATTTTTTTCTTCTAAAATCAAGAGAATTTTGTACTTAAAAAGGCTATGGTTCAAAGGGCTTGTAAAAGCTCTTATTTGGTAAAACTAAAATATATTTATATCTTTTATTTTTAAAATAATATTAAATAAAAAATATTCACAAAGTAGACCAAGTTAATTTTTTATAATAAATTTAAAATATTAGTGATTAAAATATAATAATAGAAAAAGTTTTACAAAAAAAATAAATTTTTGTAATAAACACCTCTTTAAAACATATTTACTATGAATTTTAAAAAATATATATTCTTCTTGCTATGAAAAAAGAATATAATTATTCTATCTTAATTTTTCTTCATATAGATTTTAGGTTGATTTCTCTTAGTATAAAGTCTGCTAAGGATATATATATATATATATATATATGTTCTAAGTATAAAGACCTGCAAAAGACCTCATACATATACTGTAAACAATATAAGTGTAAATCTAAATTCTTATTTCTTTATCTATTTTATTTCATAAGAGTTTTGTTTTCTTTGGGTAGATTATACAAGAAAAATGAAGATTTTACATACTATATATCTGATTTTTATGTTTTGGTCTTTTAAATTTTAATTCTTTATTTTAAAGAACTCCATGAATATTTATTATGTTTAGTCTTAAGGAAGACCAAGTATGTAGTTTTTATTTAACTTGCACATAGATTTGGAAAGCATAGCACTTTTAGAACATGTAGATTGTTGGCACTTAATAACTAAAATAGAGATATTATTAAAATTCACAAGTTTTTAATAGCAAGTATACAAAAGAAACTTAAGTAATGTTTTTTTTTTAAAAAAATTGCACCCACAATTTTTTCATTGATTATAAAATTTGCAATACCATGCTTATTTTTATTTAAATATACATAAAAAATCAAGGTGAAAAATATTGAAAATCGTTTCACCATGCTTTAGTTCAAAAATACAAGAATTACTTCAATGAATAGAGAAATAAACCCAATCATTCCACAATTGTAGGCATTAGACTAAGAAGGTGTGTTAAAAAAATTTATAACCTGGATTTATGAGAATATAATTACTAAATATTCCATTGATGTTCCCTATGGAAATAGATTGGGTTTTACCAGTGAGTTTTTTATACCAATTACTAATATAAAGTTAAGTTAAGAGAAGTCTGGATGCAACTTTGTGCATGTTAGTGTACATAAATGAACACTCTCTACAGTTATTCTACCTTCATCCTTCCCTAAAAAGTTGTATTATTTATTAAACACAACGATGGGACTGTGTGATTATTTTCCAATGCTCACACACCCAATTTTAATTTTTTATTTTATTTTATAAAAAAAAACAACAACCACCTACCAATTTCTCTTAATTGACATACAATGAAAATAAACGAAGGGATTAACACAAGTGGACCAGTAGAAATGCGAACTAGGACTACGAGAGAAACCTCTGCTTGTGTTTGATATGGCACCCTCACCAGCACGAGACATGATTGGGAAGAAAACATCCTATTTTTTGCTTGTCAGCTTCTGTTGTCACACTAACCTGAGCTATGGCGGAAGCCAGAGGCAGAAGCTGACAAAAGGTGCCCTGATCAAACAAACACCCTAGAGGTCTGTCGATTTCTCCGACCTAAGGCTTCACAAAGCACCAAGGAAGGAAAACGCAAAAGACCATTTACTTCCCTTAGCTGCTTTGCAGACGATGGATTGGGTGCGCAAGATTCATGAGAGAGTGTGAAAAACAGTGTCTGTACAGACTGACAGTGGGGGCAGCGGAGTGAACGATAAGTGGGAGGTAAGTAAGTTGCATGTGTGCAATAACGGTCCAAGCTTTCACTGGTATGACATGCTTGGCCATATCTCTCTCTCTCTCTCATCCCAACCCAACCCCGAACTTCATTATAGTTGCCTTGATAACTCCGTCGCACTGGTGACTGGGAAGACTTCAGCACGATTTTTCTGTCGCAAAATGAATGCAAGCTCATGTGTACTAGATTTTTAACAATGGAATCCGCATTCCTGGTCAGAAACCAGATAGCACTGAGGGATTTGATCAATTAAGCAGTGCTCGGCACATCATTCGCGGGTTGGTAGCGCCGCCCGGTGGATAGCAGGAGGTGTCTATTCACGGCGCATGCAGAATTAATTTTTACTGCCGTTCGCTTTCAACGAAAGAGGAAAAGAATCTTGAAAACCAATTAAAATCGGACTGTGCCTCCATGGGAGGCTGAAAGTGCTCAACTTACTGGGGTAGAGGAGGCGGAGCCACTCTCAGAAACAAACAGTGCAGACTTCACCGCATTAAACTACACAACTTATTGTGGAAGGATTTTCCTCAGATGCACAAGCCGGTCAGAAACTTTCACACGGTTGATCAGCCTGTACTACTCAGGAGTTCTCATTTCCAATGCACTCTGCGTTTCTAGAACAGATCCAGAACTGGTCGTACTGTATATTGCGTTCATCATGCGCTTCACCCCTAAACGCTTCAGGTTTCCGTGAGCTGCTATGAACACGTACGCCAGACTCCGAGTCGATTTCCCGTGACATACGTGGCAATATCCTGAAGGTTGATTCAACTAATAATTGTTGTCCTCTCCATCATCCAATATTTGTACCGAATCCACGTAAAAGAACTGTTCCTTGGTACTAAAAGTGAGTGAACTGAAGCGATCCATAACTCTTGTAATAATGTAATGCACTTCAGGGTACTCGTGCAAGGTATTCGTATTAGTAGTCTGAAGCCTTCTAAAAAACGTTACTCTGGAGTACTACATACGACATTCTCAGCATATTTAGCCAAGTCAGTGTAACGTCCTCAAAGTAAAACTTACCTGCAGTATTAAGGTTGTAGAGGAATAGAGTGCGCCCTCATGAAGCGGCTCCAGCAAGTGTAAACCGACGAAGTACTTCATAGAAATAGCTCAACACAGTGTGGTATGCACAGTAGGTAGAATCAGATCGCATGGACAGAGAATGCGAGCAGACAAAAATCCGAAAGGACGGCGAGACTATCGAGTCCCAATTCGGAAACGCAATTCAAAGCAACCAGATATCATAACTATCTAGGTGAATCAACCGCCATCTGAAGATGAAGCTGTAAGGAACGATTTGACATACGAAACATTCAACAAATGAAGCAAAGTAGATGAAATTGAGTCACCTCACTCAACTCAAGTACTATAATTCCAAATCACGTCAAATGACTATTAACATCATTCTGTTTGTACAGACAGAGTAGCACGAGCTCTATGTGTTGGCCATCCAATCTGTATCTCTCACCACAACGCTCACTAACCCCACATCCTTTAAGTGCACCGCTTGGAAGACCCAAAGTTTAACCTGCACAAAAAAAATGAGAACCCCCGTATGTGAGAACAAGAGCTGGGCCTGATGTACATCACTGAGAAGGCTATCAGTCATTGATGCGCAAGAACAAGGACAGCGAAGAAGAATGGTCAGTCACCTGAACAACTTCAGTGGCGATCGGCACCAGACCACCAGCAATTCTTCACCATTGTTTAAAAAATTGCGAAGTTAACGCTAATCCACACCATATAAATATGGAGCAGTACCCTCGCACCGCAAAACCAGCTACAATAGTCACAAATTAGACACGAATCGAAGGCAACAAAATTAAAATGAACTCGATTCAAAGCTTCTACTCATCCCTGCATCTGCCTCACAGCTTCAGCTCTAAATCGTCGGCTGGCAATTTCCTCTTCGCACCAACTTCAGGTACCACCCCGTCCAGCTCCCACAGCGACCCTAACCCCTGAACAGCGCCGGAGAGCTCCAGCTCTGACGGACACCTACCAAGTCTATCTCCGAATGACCCCTTCATTCGCGAGGAAACAGGCGAAACAGGCATACTAATCGATTTCTGCATAGGATTTCGCCATGCATGGGAGAATGTCTCCAAGGGGGAGTCATTATTAGCCGAAGGAAATGGACCAAGGCCTGCCATTCCCCCGAGAAGCCGCCCCCCTGAGCTAGTTCGCACCCTAACCCCGTTAGCCCATTTGCTGGAGTTCGAGCCACAGACGGTGGCAAACTCCAAAGCGGTCCCAGGCGAGATTTCGGACTCGGCCTCTTCGATGGGGGTACGAGCACCGTCGGGCGTATCGCAGTAGCCAGGCCGGAGATGGGACTGATTGGAAGCGGCAGCTTGAGCTGCAGCCGCAGCGGCAGCTAAGAAAGGGTGATGGTTCCATGTGGGAGGGCCGGATGGGGGGAATCCGTGGGAATGGTGATCGGCGTCCTTGATGTGGTCCCAGTCGGGCTTGACCGGAGGACCGCGGTGAGTGGGGGACGAAAGAGGTGGCGTGACCGGCGCGCTGGAGGAGCCACCGTGCATGACGTGCAAGGGTGGCAGGCCCGCGCTGCTGCTCGGGGTAGCGGTGCCACTGCCACCATTTGAAGATAGCCCCTTAAGCCACGGAATCAGAGAAGTGCCTTCAGCTGCGCCGGGGTAGGAACTAGTGGGGCTCGCCTCAGAAGGTGATGTGCACACTTCCATGGGCTGCGCGGGCGGCTTCGATCCCTGAACAAGTTTACACGTGAGCTTCAAGAGTCGACATTGTATTTCACCTAATTTGTGAAAAGATAACAGATGGAGAGAGGAGGAGTAGGACAGAGACCTAACCTTACGGTAAGTGGTGCCGTCTTCTTCCACAGTCCAGCCAGCCTCCACGCAGAGCGCCTTGAGGACTTCATTGTTGTCGCAGTGCTTGGGCAGCTTGTAGTTTCCATAGAGACGCAGGCCGGCGAAGATCTTAGCTGCAATGGCGCGCCGGCGGCGCTCTCTCCTCTTGTTGTTCTCTCGTTCCTTCCAGGTGGGCAAGCGCGTCCCGGACGTCATATCGCCGATCTTCGAACCAAGACAAGAGGGGCGATACAGCACCTTGGGTCAATGTCCTCTTGCCACCATCAAGAATTGGACCACCCTTCTGCCCCGGAGATAACCCTACATGTTCCTTACACAATCGAGACAGTCTTGTAGACCTTATCTAATTGTCGGAATGGCGAACCAAAAGCTCCGTCAGTTTCGTCCGTCGCTTCTAATACTACAAGAAGACTACTTTAAAAAATAAAAAATAAAATAAATAAAAGGTTATGGAGAAGGGCAAACGAAAGCAAAAATATTCGAGAGACTGACACCGAGAGAGAGCAAGAAGGCAATTTGGGAGTGAGCCTTCGATACAAGACAACGCCCAAAGAATTCCCCTACTCCTGCGAGTCGGGAAGGAGATGACAAGGAGTGCGAGAGATGATTGGTTAGTGGCTGACAACAGACGAAGAGAGGCACGCAGTGAGAAAGAGTGGAGAATCGCAAGCACGAATGCCGAAGTGTATGACCGAGCTAGAGCATCACAGCTTTTGAGCAACAAGTCACGCCTAAACTTTCTGAGATGTAGCACCTACAGGCTCAGGGACAACGAAGCACCCTCCAAATAAAGGTGTTGCTCGCGCGTGCGGGCTAGCGACTCGGAAGGAACCAGACCCTCCCTCGCTCAAAACCCCTGCTGCTCTCTTTCGCGTTCTGACACAAGTCAAATCTACCCAACCCTGCCCCAAGCCAGGGACCCACTCGCTAGCTCACCCACTGCTCTCAAAGACACACCTCCACCCCCTACGATGACCAAAACGCAATTCTGCACACAAAAACTACTTCAATGGAAGCGCTTCATCAAAGCCTCCGCCACCTGCCCACGAGGAGGGTCGCCGAAGAAGATGCCGGCGGTGACTCACCCAACCGACAAGCTCTGACGCCCCCGCACCAGAAAAGTAAGCCCCGTCTCACGCTCCTCTTTGGCTCGTCATAAAAGAAAACCACCTTTCCCGCTCCGAAATCTATTGCAATGGCACGGGACTACACCCAGACTACAGTCTTTCAAAGCACACAAAGTTCAAACGGAAGCCACCCATCAAACGACCTCCCGGAGGAACTCCACCATCATCACCAAAGCAGCGCCTTTGAAACAGTCTTGACCGGCAAATTGACGACACGCACACCCGAAACTAATAAGGGCCATCATCCTCATCATCATCCTCATCATCATCATTCCTCCCATGGGCTATAGGCCTCCATGCATCCCGGCTCACGAGAGGGGGACGAACACGACCACTAGACTATCTAGCGCTAGAGTGAGAGAGCTGTTAACTGTGTGACGAGCGGGTCATGTCTCTGACACTCACCTGCAGGTTGCAGGCGAAGAAGAAGAAGAAGAACCAGAAGAACCAGAACCAGCAGCAGTAGCAGAAACAGCACAAGAAGCCGACGAAGCAGAAGGAGCAGTAGACGAAGTCGTCGCAGTTACCCTGCGCCTTCATCGTCATGTTCCATACTCCTCCTCTTGCTCCTTCATCATCGCACTCTCTTCTTCGTCACTTTCTCTCTCTCTCTCTCTCTCTCTCTCTCTCTCAAGTTTGAAATCAGTACCTCCTGTTATTTTTATTTCCTGTTCTTTTTCTTCTGTTTCTTCCTCTCTGGAATTGTTGCAAAAATCGGCTTGAAATTCTGAGCATTCTGGAAACATGCGGAATGTGTGGGGTGTGGCTTGCACATGCCTGTGCCATGACTGCAGGAAGTGGAGCCAATGCAGATGTCAATGTGCACATGAGCCACCACCTTTCCACAAAGTTGCATTTCATCACAAGCTAGCTGGGTAGCTGGCCCTGTGGTGAGTGTGTGTAAGTGAAAATGTGAGTGAGATTTTGCAGACTTGGCAGCTGCCTCTGCCTATTGCATGCTGTTGGGGGTCTTCAATTTCACCCTGGATTCTTTATGAAAACAATAACAGAAATAAGAGTAATAATTCAAAAAGGCGATATATATATATATATATATATATATATGTAATTTTCTCCTCTCTTCAAGAATTATATATATATATATATATAATTTTTTTCTCTTCAAGAATTTTGGATTTATCATCCACACGTACATGTTTGGGCTGTCTCATATAACAGGAAAATTTGTGCTACTTTTGTATGGTAGCCATTTATACTATATCCTTGTCAAATCTTCTGAATTTATGAGCTTTTGAGATGTTATATGTGCCACACTTGAGAATGATCATTTTAGACATTCTTGGGTTTCATATACAACTGTATATGTGAGTATATATTTCAGATTTTTACCAGCTTCTTTCTCTCATCAACCCATAGTCAACTCTGACTGTCTTCCTTTAAATCAAACTTATTCTCTATGAGAGAGTGACCTTACATGGCAAAATGTACAAAGTCATTTACCACATCTTTCAACAGAATTCTCTTTTTGCATTAAGACGTATATTTACTTTGACCACAGAGTGGAAGTTAACAGTCAAGTGAAATCCTTGAAGGGATGTGAAATCTTGCTTTCTCTTGGGAATTGAGAGGGAAAAATAAAATAGAGGACAGGAGATCTCACAAGGCACTGCCACCAATGCAAGAGAATATATTTCTCATGTGTAATGCAAATTATTCCAAAGTTGCAAACATGAGAATCAATTATTATTAAAGTATATTAAAATGACATATAGGTCAATAAAATAATTGAGAAGTTGTAGTTTGTTTTGAGGATCGTTGTGAAGAAGGCCAGGGAGTCTAAGTTCCCCATTAATGAGCAATATTATTTTGGGGTCAGGACAATGCTCATGTGCACAGGTTTAGGCCACCAGCTTCAGAAAGGCACGATTACCGAAGCCAGATAAAGTCAGTCTCTGATCTCCTTGTGGAAGAAAAACAGTAGGGGAACTTAGTCCTTTTTTCACTCTTGGATCTTGAGGGTCTGCCATGAAATCTCGGGAGGGACCCTGCCCGGGTGGATGGACACCCATTCGAATTCCACCGTGGATGAATGACAAAACATCACACCACACCACACTTCCCAGCAGTGTACCGTTGCTGAACGGTTCTCAATAACTCCTCATCCGGGTATATATGGCTTCCAAATCAATAGGGGAGAGGGGGGGGATAGTGAGTCCCTGCATCTCGTGCTGGGGAAGTCACAAGAAATGACGGGATGGGTGGGAGTGTCACATGGCCCATCCCTTCCCATGTGAAACAGAGAGAAAGATAAACGCCAAACAAATGAAAGAAATTTAAGTTTAAAGGAATAATTTTTTAAATAAATAGAGCATACTCCTTGCCTCCTCTCTGCTCAATAGTTACAACTTCTAAACCCTAAAAATCTCCCCTTTTTGCCTACACATTGTCGGCGTGCACATTGAATCCGAATCCATGCATTTCGGGATTCTCCCCCTCCCAATAATGATACAATGCCTTCCAGCCATGTTGCCCTCGTGTACATAGACTGCTGCGTCGATGCCTCCGAAGGTATATCTATCATCATCCATCTAAGTATTTTTCATCCTATTGTTTTGTTTTGTTTGTTTGTTAGTTGGTCAGAAAATTTGGCCTGTGCTCCAGTCTCCTAAGATTCTGCTTTGAATAATTTTATGCATTATCGTTTATGATGTAACTCTGTCAAGTTTTGTTCCTTAAATCGAATTTTTTGGAACCCCTCCATACTCGCTGAAACAAATATAGAAATTATGGTCGTGTGTGGGCAATTATTTTCGTATTGCATCTTCAAAATGGAAGTAATGCTTTTTGCATCAGAAAGCTACCAGCTAAAACACAGTGCAGCGTTCCTCGGGAACCCATTTGATCATGGAAATTTGAAGAAAGAATAAAGCCCCCGAAAGATTCTATGTCTCCCTCATAAAAAAGCTACAGGTAAAGGGAACTATAATAGGGGATGTTATGTGCATTCTTAAACAAGGCTAAATGTCCAGTCAGCAGCATAGACAATGTATCTAGAAATGACCCCCATGCTTCCTTTTTTCTTTTTTTAATGTGAAAATGTAGTGTTTGGGGGTCATAGATTCACAAGAAAAAATCATAATTTTAGATACCTTCCTTTTACATGGTCAGCTTCTTAAGCAGGTACCAATAGTAACATAAAATAATTTTCACAAATAAGAATTTGGGAATTTTCAATGGTGATGTGCTCCAGCCACAACTTAGTTACACGTGGGCTTCCTCTTTAAAAATAAAATGGATTGAATGACAAATTTAAGAATAAAAATATACTTTTCACTCTTATTTTAAATAAGAAAATGAGGAAGTATGTAATGAAGCTGTGGCACTTGTGCTCACCTGAGGGTGTGCCACTTCAAACCTATTTGACTTAAATGAGAAGAAGGGGGAAGGGAGGGAGAGGGAGTACGCATCAGCATCAGCGCACCATAAATAGCCAAATAACAATCATGTGCCAAAGCTTCAAATTTACACCATTTCCCAGGGAGCGCTTTGAATGGTGAGCTTGACATGGCTAGGACCACACACACACACCCACCCAAAGCCAAATGGGAGTTAATGCCAAACAGAACCAGAGGGAAAAAGAAGAGGAATAGGAAGGCAAAAGAGGGACATTCACAGCGGGTGGGTGAAGGAAGGATGAGCAGCGGCACAGAAGACAGAAAAAACAGGAAAAACAGATAGAAAGAAAGAAAGGAAGGAAGGAAGAGAAAAAGAGAAGCGGGAGGGACCCATGCAGAGAGAGTTTGTTCCATTGCAGCGCTAGTTCCCATGCTGCTGCTGCCCTTCCTCTCTTTCTCCACCGAGGGCTCTTCTGCTTCTTCTGCTGCTTCTTCTTCTTCTTCTTCTTCTTCTGTTTGTTTGTTTGTTTGTTTGTTCGTTCGTTTGTTCCCAAGTGAGAGCCATCAAGGTAGAAGAAGGGAGATGGATAGAAATTCTCCCTCCTCCTCCACTGCCCTCCTTTCCTTCCCTTTAACTTAACTCTGCACACGCACAGGCACGGGACCCTGGCGCGTTGCGATCCACCTACCTGACCTGATGGGCGGGGGGGGTGTCCAGGTCACCACCCCCTCCCGCACGGAGCAGCTCCCCCTCTCCAGCTTAGCACCAAGCGGGAGAAATCAATGCTCCCCCACTCGGCCGAGCCGCTGCCCTGGCGCTGCTGGCCTCGGGAGTAGTAACATTAACAGACTGACTCTCTCTGTCTGTCTGTCTGTCCGACCGTGGTGAATGGAGTTGTGGGGGGTTCCGTTGCTAAGTCAATTGGGTCCAGGTTGGGGGGGCTGCTAAATCCAGATCATGGCTTGTTCTCTTCCGTGACTTCATGGCCAGAAGCCCCACGCCCCAAGTTGGGTCAACTGTTCTTCCCACTTCTACTAGTGGTAGCACCAGCACCATTAGTAGTTGTTGTGGTTGTAAGCTGTAGTAGTTGTGGGATTCTTTTACTCTTCTATGGCTGGCTCCTTTTTCCAGCTAACCCTAACCCCTACTTCATTCCCACGTCCCCATTCACACTCACATAAAGGTTTACATTCTATTGTCTTCGGTGAGATTGAAATTTTACTTGATCTCATCAACTGAAGAAATAGACACACTACATTGAAGAGGTGTCCTTCCTTTTTCTACTTTGTTGGTTTTTTTCTTTGATGAGGAGGAGGAAAGGCAAGGTGGGAAAGGGGTGAGAATATGTACTCATATGTTTCAGCGTCACAGCTTTTGTGTATGATACCCATTCATGCCCTTCAGCCACAGGGAATTGGAAGTTTGAGGATTTTGCACCTGGGTGGGCAGCCGGGCAGCCGGGCAGCACACCAGATAGATTCCTACTCAGGCCCTCAGGTGCATGAAGAGCATTATTGTGAAGAATGGTACTGTTTTTTAGATGGAAATAGTAATAATAATAAAAATAATAATAATTTGACACTGTGAGGATTTCCTTAGTACCACACATGAGCACTTCCCACCCCCACTGCATGCATTTTCTGATGGCTTTGACATGGTCATGTAGCTTTGACCACAACCAAAGTAAATGGATGAATATATGTGGTTTGGAATCCCAGGGTGGCAGTCACCAACCATGCCCTCATGGGTATTTTCTCTTTTCCCTTTTCTTTTTTTCCTCCTTTTTTTACTAAAGAAACAGAGCTATAATTTGGGTAAATATCCTTGAAACTTATGGCATCATTTGTTGAAAAGAAAAAAGAAAAAGAAAAAGAAAGGGTCAAGCTATTGCGCTCATAGTTGACATGAGTGGCAAAGAATAGTCACATTCTTTAGAATATTCTCAATTAGGTGCAGAGATGGAAGCATGTTTTATACCATGAAATTCGGTGTCTCTTCTTTTGTAACTAAGTGTGCAAAAGCAATCTGCAAAGGCATCACAACATGAATAATCACACTAGGCAATGTTTGTCGCCTAGGTTTTGAAGCCAGACTTAGAGTTACATGGGTCACGAAGTGGGAGGTTTCGACAGACACTGGCATTGGGATGCTGTAGCAGCATGGCACGAAGAAGGTGGGCCCGAGCGAAAGAGTGGAGGGGAGAGCGAGAGATAGATAGAAAGAGAGAGAAGATGGGATGACATAATAATGAGGAGTGAAACAGTGAA